AGGGCTCCTGTGGAATGGTCAAAAGAACATTAAGCAACATTAGAGTGACTCGTGGACATGCTCACAAGCCCACCGGTGTTGGCATACCCAGACTTCAACTTACTGTTCATACTACATACAGACGCATCTGAGCAGGGACTCGGGGCAATCCTTTACCAGCAGCAAGAAGGAAAGTTGAGGGTCATTGGTTATGGATCAAGAACATTGATACCTGCAGAGAAAAATTATAATCTACACAGTGGGAAACTGGAATTTCTCGCCTTGAAATGGGCAGTGTGCGAGAAGTTCAGGGATTACCTGTATTATGCCCCACATTTCACAATCTACACAGACAACAACCCCCTAACCTACATCATGAGCACAGCAAAGTTGAATGCTGTGGGACATCGTTGGGTCGGAGAACTCTGTGATTTCCGTTTTGATGTGAAGTACCGGCCTGGGGAAGTTAACATTGATCCAGTTACATTGTATCATATCCCGCTGGATATTGAGCAATACATCACATCCTGCACTGAGGAGTTTTCCCGAGATGTTATCTGCACGACTTGGGATGGGAACAAAGCAGCTCAAAAGAAGGATGTTGCTTGGATTGCTGCTTTGCATATCGCCTCTCTCAACAAGAGTCGCGTACGCTCGTACCAACAATTACTCACGATGAACTTGTTCGAGCTCAGGGAGAAGGCCCCACCATTGGAGAGGTTGTGAGGCTCAAGGAAACAAGCGCAGTGCCCAACGATGAGATGCGGAAAGCAGCAAATCCACTCACCAGAAAGCTCTTACAGTGGAACAAAACTGCACTTGGAAAATGGGATCCTGTACAGACGGACTGATGAAAGACAGCAGCTCGTCCTGCCGGCAAAATACAAGCATGTGGTATTATAAAAATCTTCACGACGAGATGGGGCATCTGGGAACTGAGAGGGTGTTACACCTGGCTAGGGAACGGTTGTATTGGCCTTATATGAAGAGAGAGATAGAAGACTTTGTCACTCGAAAGTGCCCATGCATAAAACAAAAGAAACCTGTCACCCACACGCGTGCCCCCATGGGTAGTATAACTACTAGTTCCCCGTTGGAGCTTGTATTTCTTGACTACTTACATCTTGAGACCAGTCGAGGAGGCTACCAATATATACTAGTGATAGTTGATCACTTCACACGATTTGCCCAAGCCTACGCTACAAAAAACAAATCTGGACGGACAGCGGCAGAGCGCATATATAATGACTTCATACCAAGGTTTGGTTACCCGTCAAAACTACACCACGATCAGGGCCATGAGTTTGAGAACGAGATGTTTCGGACACTTCAGAAGTTGTCAGGGGTTGGTCATTCCAGAACGTCGCCATACCACCCACAAGGTAACCCAGCTGAGAGGTTTAACCGCACCTTACTGCAAATGTTGCGAACGCTGGCAGACAAGGAGAAAGAGCGCTGGAAGGACCATCTCCCTCAAATTGTACATGCGTACAATTGTACCCGACATAAGGCAACTGGGTACTCGCCCTACTATTTGCTTTATGGACATCATCCACGCCTTCCAATTGATCTTTTATTTGGCCGGATGGGAGAGACAGACGTAGTCACACCTAAGGGATATGCACAAAAGTGGGCAAAAAGAATGTCTGATGCTTATCAGATTGCAAATGAGAACAGCAAAAAGTCAAGTGCTAGAGGGAAATCTTATTACGACAGCAAGATGAAAGGAGCAGTCCTGCAGCCGGGGGACAGAGTGATGGTAAGGAACCTCAACAAGCGAGGAGGGCCCGGGAAGCTACGATCCTACTGGGAGAAGACCATATACATAGTTAAGGAACAAGTATCTGAAAATCCTGTGTATGTTGTCTATCCGGAGGATGGAGATAAGCTCAAAAGGAGAACTCTACATCGCAACCTGTTGTTACCTGTAAGCGACCTACCTGTTGAAACTCCTCCTTGTGCAGAGCAGTCAGCACCTGAGCCACGACGGAGGAAAATGCATGCCAGAGTCCGTGATTTGGAGGAAGAGACTGAGAAGAGCGACAAGTCAGACGATTCAGAGGATGAACAGAGCTCCGGAGGCTATTGGCTACGGATACCGGTGAGCAGAACAGAACAGAGAGGTGCCTGAAAGACATGGTTCGACCCAGAGAGGATCAGCCCAAGGATCTTTAAGGGATGTAAACTCACGTGAGAATGAACACGTACCTGATTCAGCTACACTGGCTGCATGGGAAGAGCAAAGACAACCACAACACACTGAGGATGAATACGTACCTGATCCTGTTTCAGCACTTACAAGACGAAACAAGACAGACAGAAAGACCACACTTACCTTGGTCAGTCCAAACAGAAACCGAGACTGGACATGATAGACAAGTGACCCCACCTCCAGCAGACATTCACACAGAGGTTAGACGATCTGCTAGGGAAAGAAAGCCGAGGCACATGTTGACCTAAGACACACTTGGCCAGCCTTCATTACTACCGAACCCTACAGTTAACACAGTTGGGGCATACAGTGCACCTTACTTACCATTTTGGGGTACACCTTACCATTTCCCACTGACATACCAACCTGCACCGTATATGCCACAAACATACATGCCGTACATAACACCTGTTTATTGATGTATTTCTGACGTTGGAAGAAATTGTGAGTTATATGTATCTTGATAAAGTTATTGTTGAGACTTTTGAATTTTGGAAATTTCAGGAGCCATTTTGTTATTTTGTCGGGGAGTGTGTGACACCCACCAATGTGTTTACACATGTGTATTGGTGTTTACAGTGAACAATGTATATATTGTATGTATGTATATAGTGTATGCATATAGTGTGAGATAACTAGCGAACTGAAATGCCTTGATGTATGCAATACATTCCACCTTGTGGCCGGCAGAGGACAGGGTGGCGCTGTGGTCTGCTTTAGACGGCGTTACGGCAGCGGAAGAAGTTGCTAGCACAACGTCGGGAGTGATGTTCCCTCATTCTGCGGAGCGAGGCGCAATGACCAGACGTGCATGAGCTGTGTGTCATTTGTGTGTCCGGTCCACAGGTGGAATCATCATCATCTGCCTACTGGTTACCAATCCTGGTACCTGTAACACATATTTGATCTTTACTAGGGTAATGTGCATTTAGGCATAGTCAATGATGGATGTGACATGTAATATGTATATATAACATATTGCAGAGATTGACAGAAGTTTGTACAAAACAAAGGTATGTGGAATTTTGGGCCTTTCCATCTTCCATGTTAAATTTTTCTCATTAAATCGCATGTTCCCAGCTATTAGGAACGAGGAATGACAGCTTGTAGAAAGCTATGTTTGCTGCTTGTTGCCACGCTAGCTTTCTACAAGCTGTCGTTCCTCACCTGACGGACGCAGAAATTATTGAACGTGCGTTTCATTTTGTTCAGGGACCTCTCAAAATGTTTCTCACGACTGCTGACGGGACTTTGAGAAGCTATGAGTCAGATTTACTGACTCAGAAAAGAGGTAGGAGAGTTAAAAGAGCAGTGTGTATGATTTAGTGCCAGTGAGGTGGCAGGTTGCAACCAACTGCGTATCCCTTTTTTTCTAGCTTTCATGTATGGTCACTGTATGCTCCTAGCTGGGAAAGCAAGTGAAAAATAAAGTAAATAGTGAAAGTATGCATATTCATGATAATATATTGACCAACACAGCCTATTGTCAGAGACAAAGAACATGTTAGTTTGGCCTTTTAAGCAGAATTTTTTTTACTGACGTCCTTGGTATGATGAGTATGGCATGATACTGTGGTTGTAGCTACGGCAGAGCTTTGCAGCTGTGTGCTGATGTTGCAATAGCACAACCAAGTTCTTACTCTGCCACTCCCAGCCACCCTAAAATGTGCCACCTATGCCCATAGATTGATAGGACGATTAAAAGGTTTAACAGATTACAACGTGAGACCTTCACTGACCAACTAACCTCAGTAAATGTGACAGCTTTATTTTTCTCTGGAACACACATTTACCTAACATGTCACTCCGTTGTAGTATTATTTTATCATCCATCGTTCCCCTTAATGCTACACACTGTTAAATAAAAGGAGATTACGCATCCAAATATAATACCCCTAGACTTGGGAAAAAAATATGTAACTGAAACTGTACTGGAAGTCCTCCCAAAAGAGACGCACATACAAAGTGATTCAACATTACACATTACAGTTATGACTGACATCCAGAGCTGCTACACATGCTGCTACACATGTGAGACGTTTTCACTCTGGATCTAAATGGAGACATTCTCACTATGTCACCCGCATGACTCATAGGCCAGGGAGGACTGTATTTAGACGCAGACCGATAAAGTATTACCATGACTGCGACTCGACTGTTAAATGTCACAGCATGTGCACCGAGGGGTGTAGCGTTACAAAAAAAACATCATCACAATGCTCTATGTTGCACGTGAAAGTTAGATGAGAGTAATTATCCAAATCTGGTCGTCTTAATGGGAATAGACTGTAACCATTCCGTTGAGTTATCTCCTCTTCACAGCTAGAGCGTCCTGAAATCAAGATTAGTGTTACACTATTTTGACACACCAACACGTGTTCGTAATAAACATTCTTTGCAGCGTTGTGAAATATATTCCTTGCATGAATGAAAAAGTGAAGGTGTTGTCTCTGTCCCCAGGCCTCCAGAGATGGAAAGAGACAGGAGGGGGTATCACTTATCTGCCAACGCCATGAAATTGAAGATGGTGCCCCATGATGCACTCGCTCCAACCGTGCACGCGCACACACACACACACACACACACACACACACACACACACACACAGATCTTAACGCACAGACGTATGTTTAAAAATGCACGAGCAAACAGAAACAAACAAACTAAATATAGATGTATGTAGCATAGCAAGCATACAGGGAGGTACTCTCGGGAGCTCGGGGGTTCACCTCGATCATGCACACGCTCACCCTCACCAGCTCTGGAGACAAAGGTAAGGACGATACAAACAGAAGCGTATCTCAACTGTGCTCATTACAGGCTTTGAACAGGTGCCCAAGAACTACTATTAACACAGAATGTGTTGACTGAGCATGTGTCTTCATTATCAGCAACGCCCGACACAGATTTTGTGTCAGCAGCCACGGGTACTACGCAGGAAGGGGAGCTTTAGTCATACACGCCTTGGACTCTGGAGAGTGACGTCCATTGGTATTTTCACTCGTGCTTGCTCCCAGTTGCAACCTGCGCCGATTTTCGTTTGTTGTTGACTGTTATCATGCCGATTGTCTTCACAAGCTCTGATCGTGTCTTTCTTGTTTTTAAACGGCCTTTAGGAGGATGAGATATGTAAAACTTTGTTTTTAAGTCCTAACATGGCAGAGTGAAGAGGCTAAGTTTTACTAAGTAAAGTCAATAATAGTGAATACAAAAATACCCCAGATATCATAATGATAAAAACCCTACACGTGACATTTGTGAATCATTTACATTTCCAAATGTCTGCAGCTGCTCGCTTACTCCACAGGGGGCGGGGCTAGTCCATGAGGTAATCCAATTGGAAAGCGTCCGGTTGTGTAACCGTGGTTACCAGGGCAGTGGCATTATGGTATGCCGACATGGCTGCGTGCAGTGGAGGCATGGACGTCAACAGGAGATGCTTGTTGGACTTTTAGCGTTGCGACGCGAATCTGATGCAGTTGCAGACACATCTGGACATTTCCGGGAGGCTTCCGTCGTCATTGTGTGTTTAAACATTTGGATTTTTTTTGTTGTGAGCAGTTTTTTCTGCTCTTTTTGGTTCCGTTGGACCGAGTAGTTTATTAGCACACCCGTCACGTAACGCTAAACGGATATGCTCCCGGTGGACCGCTCAGCAAGAACAAATCCAACACGCTATCACATCGTTACTCCTGTCAGAGCTTCTCCTCTGATACACGTCACCGAGAGCACGCGCGTGTAAGTATTCTAAATGGTGAAAATGAGCGCGTGGGGTGATTTATTCCGTACTGTATTGTGTTGTTCTGTTGAGGGCGTCAGTAATACACATTGCACTCTACACAACCCGGTGAGGTTCAGCTCACACAAGGAACTTCACCAGATGTTGGCATTTTTAACAGGCGCATAAAGTTGCCATAAGAACGAAGTGTCAATGGTACTACGAGAAAAGCCCGTTATCATCTGGAGCTGATCACGTGGTCTGAAAGCTGAGCGTCTGCATATTTCAAATGCAAGGACAGCCTCCTTCGCTTTATGGTTCTGGTTTTGCAAAAACATTTTAAAGTCTACTGTCATTTTAATTGGCATATAACACATGCTATATTGATCTCCTACTGTATGCTGGGAAGTTACCAGGCTAATAATGGATTCAATTTGTTTCGTTTTTTTCTAAAAGGTTGATGTGAACACAGTTTTCTCTCTCACATGCAGAGCCAGTGACTGACAAAAAGCAAGAACATCAGGAAAGTTACAAATAAAAAATGGACCAAAACATTCAATAATGCAGATAAATAATGAACATGGAATTCAAACAGTGCAGTGAACTGCTGCGGCCTCACTGCAGCAACTCATTTAACAAAAGCTTTAAACAAAAAAAAGCATTTCCTAAGCTGCGACAAGATATATAGGTAAACATATATCATCAACTTATTGGAAGTAAAGGAAATAATCAAATGTTCTGGTTGTATCAACTCTTCTGAGGTTAAAGGAAAACGTTATTGCTTTCCATAAATATATTGACAGTTTAATTGACAGTAATATCTTTTGATACTATAGATATAACATTTAACTCCTTTTTTTTCTGTATCCGCAGATTGAGCCAAAACCACCACCGCCATCATGCCCGGAGAGGATAAACCACCTCAGCAACAGACCCGCCAGAGGAAAAAAAACAAAAAGTCCCGCTCCAAGGGGAAGAGCCCGGGTGGGAGTCCCAATGCCCCCCTAGGAGGCGCCATAGACGACCAAGATGACCTCTTCTTATCCCCGGCGCTCCAGCCTCCTCTTAAAAAGACAGCGGAGGGGAAGCCGAAGGTTGCAGTGGCCAAGGTGGAGGAGGAGTCGTCCGTTGCTATCTGCCTCCAAGTGCTTTTCCCCTACCTGCTGGCCGGGATGGGCATGGTGATGGCCGGCATGGTGCTGGACGACGTACAGGTGAGAGCGCAGCCACGTTACGGCCTCATGGGGACGGCCTGTTTTGTAGATGTTTGGTACCTTAATATGTTAATAGTAAAGTTGTTGTTAGGATTCCAACCAGATGGTTTATTGATATCATTTTATTGATATCATGTGCCCATTCCTTGGTCAATTTCTGCATTTGTGATCATTACATCTTCTGAAAACAGCAAGCGACCTTTTCCCAATCTTCTGTTGTCGTGGCGACAAACCAATCCCGTCTCTATCCTCCGTTTGGTGGTGCGTAGGACCAGTTGTGGTCTTCTACTGCTGTCGCATTGTGTATCCAACAATGCCCTTCTTCATACCTCTGTCGTTATTTAAATTACTGTTGCCTTTCTATTAGTTCAAACTGGTTTGTCCATCCTCCTCCTGCCCCTGTCATAAACAAGGTATTTTAGCCCAGGAAACGGCCCCTCACTGGATCAGTGAGATCAGATTTGTGAAATACTCCAACTAGCTGGTCCGTGATCAGATAATCTGTTGACAGGCAATTGAGTGACTTTGTTTGTTAGTATCTATTTGTGTGTGTGTGTGTGTGTGTGTGTGTGTGTGTGTGTGTGTGTGTGTGTGTGTGTGTGTGTGTGTGTGTGTGTGTATTTACATATATATTAGTGCTGGGGAACTACAACAAATTAATACAACGGGACATAACTACTTGTATAGGTCATTTATTTAAATTTAAACATATTTAACAACATATTACCTACACAAAAATAAGTAAATTAACTAATGGCCAAGACCGCAGATCTCTCGCTCGATTAAGGTAACGATTCTTCCAAATATAGGCATCTGGTCTAATTTATTCATGCAATATATAGTCAGTAGTCAGGCGCGCGCCCAGCCGTAAACTGTGAAGTTTGTGGTATTAGGAATTAAAGTAGAAAAGGCATTAGTTGTGATAGAAATGATTGTTTGTGTGATATCAGATAGTAGTAGAATCATTTTTGTATTATGAATTAAACATAGTGTATTGTGAGGGATTATGAAGCTGGATCTTTACAAAGTAGGATGGGTAACAAAATCAAATAACTTAATAAACATCATTTTGAGTTCAAACTAAATAACAGGAACTTCAAACAATATAGTGAGTGCTATTTTGGAAAAAAAAGTGCTGATTTATCTTCAAACTGCAGGTTTGTACTATGCTGGCCATTCCATAGTTAATAGTTAATAGGGTGTGAAGACATTCCTCCGCTGTAGGTCTGTGGCGAGTGTGAGTTCCCGTACAGGGTCATGTTGTGTGTGTGCAGATGGGAGGGTTCTGTGGCCAACTGGTTTTGGGCTCTGCAAAATCAGTTGAATGCTATGTTTATACTATTACATTACATGTCATTTAGCTGACGCTTTTATCCAAAGCGACTTACAATAAGTGCATTTAAACATAGGGATACAAACTCAGAAGAACAAGAAACAAGAAAGTGCAATTTCCTCAAATAAGCCAATTTACAATTTGCTATAGATAAGTGGCGTTATAAGTACAATTTAAGTGCTACAATTTGTTAGTCTTTTAGTCGAGGTAGAGTCTGAAGAGGTGTGTCTTTAGTTTGCGGCGGAAGATGTGAAGGCTCTCTGCGGTCCTGGGGCTTCATTTATAAAACCTTGCGTAGGATTTGCGCTAGAAGTGGCGTACGGATGAAACTTAGGACGTGCGTACGCACAGAAATATTCACACTTATAAAACCGCGCACACACACGTCCCACGCAGTTTTCCCTTAATAAATCACAATCACTTCTAAATGCAGCGCAGCTTTTGCGGCTTCATGTCACGCCCATAGTTGCCCATATATAGTCTGTGGAACGCCCACAAATTAATATTCAACGATTGCGAAATCATGGCAAACACTGAGAGGAAAACAAAGAAACGTAACTTCACTCAGTGTTAAGTCGAAATGATCATTGCGAGGTGGAAAGGAGAAGTAAAATGCTTTTTGGAGGGCACAGTATGGGCATTACTAATGCCAAAAAGGCACTTGAGTGGCAAAAGGTTATAGAGCAACGCTGCAGCCTCACAACCTCGGACCGTGGCCGAAATAAAGAAGAAATGGTCTGTCATCAAAGTGGATGCAAAAAAGCATTTAGCGCGCCATCGCCAAAGTGTGTCTGCCACGGGTGGGAGAGGGGACACCGGAGCTGTCCCCTCTTGATGAGAGACTGGCGGCAATGATTGGGAATCGGGGACAGGGTCTGGGCCAACATCGGCGTCAGGGGGTCGAGGCACGTTTGGAAGCTGTGCCACATTATGTAGCACAGCACATGCAGCACGATTTTGCACACCTTTTCAGGAGTAAACAACAACCTCTCTCCAGTGCGGTCGAGGCAGCGCCATCTGCCCTTAAACAGGCCGATGGTGCGCTGCACTACAGCGTGAATCCTTCCATGTGCCACGTCTAAGTGCGCAAGATCAGCCATTCCGTGTCATTACGCATTGTAATGGCATCATGGCATTTTATTACCGTCCGTTTGATTGCATCTGACAAGCAACAGCTGTGTTTTGAGGATGAATTGCATAAAATGCCAATATTATTGCAGAACATATTTCACCTGAAAATGTGTTAATTTGTATTTCTGTTTGTTTTACGCTGCAGATCGATCAAACGGGTGTTCGTGTTATTTATGAGAGGCAGTATTGGCATTTCTCTTACAACAGTCTAGTTTTACACATTTTCACACACGTTTGCGTGTTTCTTGCATTTGCCGACGGTTCTCATTTCACCCGTTTTTGTGCGTACGCATGGGTCCGAGCTTGCGTGAAGGACCGCACATTTTTCCGTCAAGTTTTCTTTTCATAAATACCAATTATTGCGTAGAGAGCGGCGTACGCCTTCTTTTGTGCGTACCCAACGTTTATAAATGAGGCCCCTGGTGTCTTCAGAGAGCTCGTTCCACTATTAGACACATAATGGTATTTAATATGTTATTATTAGTGTGTGTTATAGATTTTAGATGATAATGCTGACGGTATATTATGGCCATATTATGTTTACATGGCGAAGCTTTAGGCGAAAGGTATAATCATTGAATGTATTGTGTTATTAGGGGTGGGGGAAATCGAAATTGAAATCGATTTTTTGATTTCTCTCGATTCTCTCCAGTCTCGATTCAGAAAAGTTAATAATCGGAATAAGCTTTTTTTTGCCTGTCTCGCTCGAGCAAAAGCCCGTCTCGCGCGAGATATTTGCTCGCTCGCGAAGCGTGAACTTCCTCGCTGGTTTTCTTTTTGACAGTAAGGGGGCGGAGCCAGTCACCATGGTCTCTACACCTGATTGGTTACAAACCCCGTCTTTGGATTGGCTGGAGTGATGCATTCACACAATTATAGAAGCCCATTTCCGCACTAATGTAAGGGGATAATTATGAGATAAAACATTGTCAAAAAACAAACGCCCCCCTTCGGTAATCGTAGTGGACCGTAGATGACAACCATCATTTACCATGATTACCGGCACATTAAGAGCAATGCGTCCGGCTCGCAGACCGGTCCGTCAGTCTGAATGTGAATATCTTACCTCATTATTTAGATTTTCCAAAAAGTCGATCCGTATTGAAAGTTGGCAAGATATTCACAGATTTGGACTTTTTTCCAGTATTTTACAAATCCATAGAGACTAAGAGCAGCTTTTTCTTAATTTAAAAGAAAATTGAATCTGTTTAATATTTTTTTTACATAGGCTACTTCCATATTCTGTTGAAATGCAAGCTGCGTTGGTTCTTGCATTATTGATAGAAAATCATATTTGTGACAAAGATTTTTCTCTTATAAAAAATTAGAGAAGGTAATTAATTATCAAATAAAGAAGGAAGTGATTAGCGACCTCTGAGTAGCAAACTCAGATTTAAAAAAAAATTAGAAAATTGAGATGCATCGATAATCGTTTTATCAGTTCAGAATCGATAATCGGTTTAGAATCGATAATCTGTTCAGAATCGAATCGTTGGCGTCTGAATCGGAATCGAATCGAATCGTGAGGTGCCAAGAGATTCCCACCCCTAGTTATTAGAGGATAAGTTAGGAAAGTGAAGGACTCCACATTCGGTGACAAGAGGGAGCCAGAGAGGGAATGGGGGCGTCAGGTAATGGTCTGCCTGGGGGCGTGGTAACCAATCGATTGCAGAAGTGAGAAAACTGGGCGAAGCTACTATTGAGCTTGCAGACGATCGAAGGATGTAAACCAGATGGACCCGTATGCATGTAAAAATAAAATCTATCAGCTCGCCTGCCTCGAGCTCCGTGACCTCCTTAACCCTAGAAGGAGGAGCAAGCGGAAGAAGCGATCTCCCGTTCCCGCTGGGCCGCCGCAGCCATCTCCCGTTCCCGCTGGGCCGCCGCAGCCATCTCCCGTTTACGCTGGGCCGCCACAGCCATCTCCCGTTCTCGCTGGGCCGCCGCAGCGCTCTCCCGTTTCCGCTGGGCCGCCGCAGCCATTTCCCGTTCCCGCTGGGCCGCCACAGCCGTCTCCCTTTGCCGTTCCCCGACTGGCTCCTCTGACGCCGCCAGTACCGGCCCCGAGACTCATGACCCCGACGCCGCCAGTACCGGCCCGGAGGTGCCACTGCGGAGGTGTTCCGTGCCCCCGAGCCGCCGCCCGTGGAGTTGTTCCGTGTCCCTGAGCCGCCGACGACGACCGTGGAGGTGTTCCGTGTCCCTGAGCCGCCGGCGATGACCGCGGAGGTGTTCCGTGTCCCCGAGCCGGGCCGACCCCCGGAGGCTCTCCAGCCAAATGACCATCCGCCGGGCCGACCCCCTGAGGCTACCCGGTCGCCCCAGTTCGTGTGTGTGTTTTTGCCCGTTGGCCTTTTACTCTGTGGACTTTTTGACTATTAAAGTATTTTTCGTTAAAGTCTGCGTTTGAGTGCTGCCTTCCTACCCAACCCTCACACATATGATGCATCCACATGAAGCTATGAGATTATCTGAGTTACATGAATGGAATTAGAATTTGTTTTGCGGGATTAAATGGTTTTCTCTGACCTTTTTTAATAATGAAGTTTATCTTCATTAAACTAGTGGCAGTTTGAATCTTGATGTCTGCTTGTGTGAAGGTAAAAATATAAGTCATTGTAATGATGACGTGGTAAAAAAAGGAAAATAATTAACTTAATAATTATAGAGACACTGTTGCAGGTGAGTATTTGTTTGGCCTAACATATTGTTCTAAAGTAAAATAAATAGATAGTACCCTTTATGACAGGATTACAATGTAAATGTAGCAGGTGGAGGCGAGCTAGAGATTGAAGAAACGGAGGGAAAGAATGAGTCACGATGTACAAAGAGAGAGAGCGGCTGATGCAGTGAGAGGAATGTCACATGGAGGTAGAGCGAGGTAGGCAGACACGCAGCGAGAAAGGGAGGCAGGGGGGTGTAAGATGGTTGTTTCCCTTTATGAGGTCGCAGACAGCCCTGCCTCTTTCTCTGCTACGTCACCACTGAGCGGAGGGAGCAGGACTACCCTGACGCCGACGGGAGGAAAGGAGCACTCCAGCCTGCAGGACGCTGGCTGCTGCGTCTCGTCAGTGAACCTGCTTGAGTCTCGTGTCGACATCACCGAGCTGATTTTTCTTTGGGGAAAAAAAAGAGCTGGACTGACAAAGACAAAGGACTCCAACTCTCCAGACCTCTTCTTCTTATCATTCAGCTGTCACCGTGAGTCTGACTATCATTTTCAGGATACAGCTGTGCACTCAAGCTGGAGGTCAAACAGACTGAGGACTAGTTCCAACAAACACTTTGAACTAAAGCAAATGGATTCTGGAGTCAATCCAAGAAACTGGACTTTTGAAAGCTGAACTCTACTGTTCATTCCCCTGTGGATTCTGAAGCCATCTTAGTAAGCTTTAGCTAATAAGGCGGATCCGTTAAATACACTGTTTGACTTCAGGCGTAGGTGAATCTGCACTTGTTGACAAAGATCGGAGGCAGATGAGTAACAAATGGTTCTGATTGTGTTCACTGGTGATGCTGACAAATAGATAGCTCATCCCTGCTGACTCACCCTTGGGCCAAAGATGTCGCTCCATATTCCAGTTAAAGTATTTCATTTTGACTTGGAGAATAAGATAAGCAATCAAACAAATGGGTAATTCAGTGACAATCTTCTACTTGTTTTACATTGGAACATTTTAGGACATGGCAGTAGCTGAATACTTTTCATCCAATTTTCCTCAGAGGTAAGAAGATATATATTATATTCTTTGAGAGTGGATCAAGCGTGCATTCAGAAATACTGTGTCTCTGGTCTTCAAGCGCTTGACCCTCCCCTTTTTAAACTAAGGACGACCACATTGTTTGGTTTCTTCTACAGTACTCTCCTGCTCACTTCGTTTAGGAAGGGGAAGTTTTGGGGGGGTTTTTGGACACATGAGAATAATTTTTCCCCTTTACACTTGGACCCATTCGCACGTACTATGGGAACGAAACGTTGAACTTGCTGCTGGACTAACTCCAACATGGTGGTGACTCGTCTGGAGCTGGAGCTACGCTACCAGGGCAAGAAGTTGCGTGGCGTGACATGGAAGTTGACCCGGTCAGAACATGGATTCATACCAGAGAGCTCCTGGCTCATCGCTGCCCAGGTTATAGTGCCGTACCTGGTGTCAGGACTCGGACTGGTCTCCGCTGGTATTGTTATGGATCTTATACAAGTATGAAAATCTAAGAAAAAACCTTTGTTGAATAGTTTTGAGAGAGAATTTTGAAAGAGAATAATAGATGGATGATTAAAGGTGGGCTGAGATTTCTAGACGCTAGTACAATAAGTATCTAACCAAGAAGCCGTTTGCATTGTTAGCTGACTCCATTTTGAGAGAGTGTGGAGACAATCAATTTGATCCGGATTTTGTATTGAGCTCCTTTCAACACCTTTTTATTGGGGCGAGGTACAGGAAAATTCTTTTGGGAGTAATTGTACAGGTGCAGAAGGGTGGTCAGTGTTTCCTCTCAAACAGACAGATCGATGGAGGAGCCACAGCATTCACAGTAGTTTTAAATGTCCTGCAGCTTTCTGTTCACCAGATGGAGCCCTGGAGTGTGTACCGTCCATCTCTCTGAGCTTCCAAAATCAGATTTAGTTCTGGGGAAGCCTTGGGATGAAAGTGGACAGTTAATTTTATAAGTGGTTGGAGGAAGAAGGAACAGAGGCCAGAGAGAGCGTATAGAAACTTGATATCCTGAAATCACATGGGAGCATATCTGCATTTATCTGTTTCAAAGAAAAGTACACTGTTTGCAACATGTGTGTTGGCCTAAAATATAGCTTGAACTGTTCTGAACCTAACTATGCACACATGGTAATGATACAATAATGTCTGGATGATAAATAACTTTATCAGCAATAAGAGCAACAAATATTCAGTTCAAATATTCAGTATTAAAGCAGAAGTGGGCCACGTCCAAAGATAGCTACCCAACATACAGGCCTTAGCTAGTCCAGAACAAATACACACACATACAAAAAGCAATCTCTCATGGCCTTGATTAACCCCCTTAAACCTCATCACCACCCCACAAGAGCACAATAGGTAACCGGAGAAAGGGGGGCTGAAGTCTAAATAAAAATAATATAAATAATAATCACTACATTCTCGTTTTTTGAACGTGGCAACCCTGGCTCGGCTAGCACTCGTCCTTTTTTGTTGCCCATCCTTTGTGACAGGTGTGTATCCCAACAGTACTTGCCACGTTAGTCGCAACAAAGCTAACGATACACTGGTGAGCATACAAAAAACTGCAGCTCCATCTAAAATGCACTGGCTGCTGAGATGGTGATACCTCCTCCAGCTCTCTCTTTTGAATGAAACCATGGTACTCAACCATGGAAAAGCTGTACAACTGGTGATGTTGAACCCGGTGAACAGAACTATTGTAAAAAAATGCAGTTATCACTTAGTGATTGCATGCCTCTGACAGACATATTTCCTATAAGAAATCTGTGTGATGATTAGCACATGAATTCTTTGCTTTGGGAGGTCAAAGTGAATTTAAACCTCCTAAATAGAATCAATTCCTTGGTCAGAGCTGCTTGACATTGGGTTGTGTTTCTACAAAAGTTAATTTGCTTTCAACTTCTTGCTGAAAGATATTTGCTTACGTCATTACGTCAGTTTCACTGATCAAATCTGTGCTTCTTTATAACTAAACGTATTTTCTGACACTGTTTCCTTTCCACTCTTTCTTTCCTTCCTTCCTCTATTTCCGGCCTTATATGCCAGTCTCTCCTCTCATCTTTAATTCCCTCGCTCCCTTTTTCTCTCTGCTCCACTTCAGAATGCTCTTGGCAGCCTTGCCCGTTCGTTTATATGCATCTATTTAGGGATCCAAAACATCTTGGAGTTGCCAACTGGAGTTGTAGTGAGAAAACAGCAGGCAGACTCTGTGAACTGTGCCTGTTCTAAACCCGCTGAACCTCTGCGGCCCTGCGTGGGGCGATGCTCAGACATGTGAAAACAGGAAGAGTAGCTTACTGGGTTAGTCTAGAATATGTGATGTGCATCAGTTAGGGACAAGGTCCACAGGGTCCATCTGTAAGGTGGAGATGCTGTTCATGCCTCCATGCTGGAGATATTGTGGCCAGAGGCATTGTGGTTTTGGGTCGCCCAGCTCTAGCGTAAACCGGATATAAGAAGTGGACGTAGTACATCAATTTACCTGTCGTTTTGAAGGTTTGAGTTCTGCGATTTACCATCGCCATCTCTGATTACAAACGTTGCATGGCGTTTGTTTTGGAACCAATGAACTGGATTGAAACGTACTTTGCCTTTGCCCTTTTTGACGCTAAAAGCTGCCTCCTATGTCTTTATATATTCCCAGTAACACTGGAACGCACTGGCCAAATCTTAAACCTGGGATCCCTTCGGCTGTCGTCTAACAATGACCGAGCTGTTTATTGATTTTATAAACAATTGTAAAATGACTACTATTGAGACAGTTCAGTTGTACATGTGGTGTCTCAGCCACAACTCCACTCTGATATCTCAAATGTTAATAGCCTGAAGCAGCCAGTGAAGGTTTCTAGAGGCTACACCTGGAACCCCATAAATATGCTCCCTCTCCCCCCCGGAGGACTACCGACGTCAGGCCGTTAGCTGATTGCTCCGCGGCCCCTGGCATTAGCCTAAAAAACGCTTTTGTTTTTTAGGCTAATGACAATAATGACAATTTCACATACTGCCTACTCAGATAAGGTGGTGACATCTTGAGAAGGCGTCAATGTTGATCGCAACGTGATGCAGCCACGGGGGGGCGGGGGGGGGAGATTCTGGAGTAATTTAGTGTAAATTTCTGTTTGTGTAATTCTAATAATTGCAAATGTGTGTGTCTTTCAGCACTGGAAGGTGTTTAAGGTGATAACAGAGGTGTTCATCCTGGTGCCTGCGCTCGTCGGACTCAAAGGAAACCTGGAGATGACCTTGGCTGCTCGCCTCTCCACTGCGGTAAGACGGACCAGGTGTTAAATGCTTTTATAGTCATATAGTCAACATTTGGGCTCAAGGGGATACATTGAGAGATTAGGGAATGAAATGGGTAACAACTTTCTGTATAAGAACAACCTAGTTATACATTTTCCCTTTCCCAGTACATACTCACGCTACTTTAACTTACGGTAATGGCGTTACTGTGTGACAAAACAGGAAAACTGCACAGATATTGGAGGAACAAAATATCAGGAAATATCATAGCTGGCTAGCCAGCTATAAAATAATTATGTTGATTTTTTTAATTGTGCAGGGCAAAAAACTTTGAACTGGGTGAGCGAAAAGTACTTGCAGTGGTATTTATTATTATTTTAAGTTATTTATTACTACGTCCATCCTAAATATAAATAAATATGCATAAAATATGCTTATTCCTGTATACGGTGGGGGTTGAACCGCTCTTAAAAAAAAAAAAAAATCAGCGCGCTCAATTAGAATAATTAGAAAAATTAGAAAATAGAAATAGAAAAATAATTGAATACGATAATAAAAGTGAAATACGCAGTAGATAGTGCCATTTTTCGCCAAACAGAGATTCCCTCTATTCTCGCTTCGTCTATCTAGGCCGGATTATCTGCCTCTGTTCACAAAACAGAGTCTTTCTGTGTCTGTAGGCGTTGTATTTCTGTCACAACCTCCAGTGATTGGCTGTGATTCCAACGGTGGCCCCGCCCAGCTTGTTCGTTTGCGTCGTCCATCTTCCCCATCGTTTCGGGGCTGTAATCACGTGTTCAATCAAGTGTTACCCAGCCAATCAATTGGAAACATTATTGTTGTTGTGGTGTCTCCCTTTGTCTGTAGGCCAACACAGGCCAAATGGACGACCCCGATAAACAATGGACCATGGTGTGCAGCAATCTGGCACTAATACAGGTAACCAAACATGATTAAATGTTCAATAAATAAAGAAGATGATGAGGATGACTGCTGAGGGTACTCCGCTCTGCCTGTCACGTTTATTGCCGTGCTCTCGTTGCATCTTGTGTTTTTCTGCAGGTCCAGGCGACGGTGGTGGGTTTCCTGGCAGCCGTAGCAGCTGTGTGTTTGGGGTCGTTTTCCAGGGGGGGGGTTGAACTGGACCAGGCAGCTGTCCTCTGTGCCAGCAGCATCACCACGGCCTTCGTTGCTGCGCTTTCCTTGGGTAAGCGACGGGAGACACCGACAATATACTAATAAATGTATATTTGCAAAACGTGGAACTGTTCCTTTATTTTATACCCCGGATGTTAAACACCATCAGTCAAGTGCAGCATATTCGCCGAGCAGCATCCTCGCGCGTCCACATCACCCTCAGCTCTCACTGCATAATCCATAATTCCCCCTCGCCTCCTCTGTCTGAGTGTGTAGAAGAAGCTTGTTGAGTGGTTCTGTTAAATATGTTTTATTCATTTACGCATTGCTTAGCTCACTCCCCTCTTTGCAGTGTCTCTCTCCCTCTCTCCTTTTTCTCAGAGAAATATAAAAAATACTGCTTTTTTGCTATTTTGCTCAGCTCTAAACACAGCTTGTCTAAAAGTGGTCAATGTTTAGTAAATGATGAGGCCAAAATCCTTTTTGTCGTTGTGTATTACCAGTTATTTCCCAATGACACCGCCCCCTTCTGTAGGCCTGGTGATGATCGGAGTGATCATCGGCTCCAGGAAGGTGGGCATCAACCCCGACAACGTGGCCACGCCCATCGCTGCCAGCCTGGGCGATTTGATCACCCTGTCCCTGCTGGCCGGGGTCAGCAGCACACTCTACGAGTATATCGGTGAGGTGATACAGGGACGCAGAGGCATGATGGGAGCCCACCCCCGTCCCCCCAGTCATGCCTCTGTATATTTCCCCCCATAGAGTCCAATGAGAAACAACATTTTGACAGTGCTGATCACACTTGATACCTGCAAAAGCCACATTTATTTTCTCAGATGGCTTGATGCTTTTCAATATGCTAACATGTTTCCTGGATTTCTCTCCTTGCATCTTTACATATAGTCAATAGATTAAAAAAAATGAACTACATTTTGCACATTTTGAAATGTGTTAATTGCAATTAGTGAATGTTGTTGTTAATGTTTGTTTTTATTCTAAAGATTAAATCTTAAAAGTAATGAGTAATCACTTTAGAAAGTGTGTATTTTCAACAGTGTTGTTTCATTGTTAAAATTATTTTAAACACAAAACTACACACATTTGATCATCTTGGAGGCAGAATTCCACCGGGTGGAACGTGTTGAACTAACGACTCTTCCTGCTGTCCTCGTGCACTTTGCTCCCAACTCTCGGTCATTTGAAGGCTGTATTTGAAGGTCCCCATATTTAGCCTGAACCTTTTTAAAGTATTTTAGGGACACAGTGGTGGCTCTCTGTTTCTGAAAGTTATGTTAACTATGTTAAAATAGTTTGTTGCATCAATCTCTCTAGTAGTCTCAAACTCATTTGAGGTTCGGGCCAGATATGCAGCAAGACTCCGACCGAACGCGGACCAAACCGGCGAGCGGTACAGCTGGCGAGGGGGTGGCGCTGTCGGCCGTACCCCCCACCACCCCGCCGCGGGCCAGCAGACCGGAGTTTGAGACTCCTGGCATAGATGAACACGTTTGTGTTCAATTCAATTCAATTCATTTTATTTTGTATAGCCCATAATTGCAAATTACAAATTTGCCTCAGAGGGCTTTACAGTCTGTACACATACAACATCCTCTGTCCCGAAACCCACCATCGGCACAGGAAAAACTCCCCAAAAAATGAAAAAACCCTTCCAAGAGGGGAAAAAAGGGAAGAAACCTTAGGGAAGAAACCTTAGGGAGAACGTCAGAGGAGGGATCCCACTCCCGGGATGGACAGACTACAATGGATGCCATGTGTACAGAATGAACAATATATAATACATGCAGTTCCTATGACAGAAATGATTCAAGTAATTGTGAGTAGTAAGCCAGGCGCACAGCAGGACCACTGCAGAGGCAACCACCATCAGATAGAACCACCATCCACAGTGTTGTGTTGACGCCCTATAGGAAGTTGGATCTCAAATAAATTATTCCAAAGGAGCGGCTACATTTGTAGAACATCGCCATGGTATTCTGCCTCTTTTACATCACTAGAGCCGCAAAGACTTCCGTAAAAGGATACTCCGGTGTTTCCTCCATCTCTCCTTGTCTCCTTGAGGTGCAACCCTTTGTTTCTGTAGTGTATGAGACAGTGTCTGTCCCTGTTCCACAGATGTATGGTACCTGTCCCCCCTGGTGTGTCTAGTCTTTCTGGCTCTGATCCCAATCTGGGTGGTGGTGGCCCGACGGAGCCCTCAGATCCGGGAGGTTCTCCGCTCGGGGTGGCAGCCTGTGATAGTAGCCATGTCCATTAGCAGGTATTTACCTCCAGCATGATTTTTAACCTTTGTAGACCGTGGAGTTGAAATTTCAAAGAAAGAGTTAATAAAAATGAAGTATGCAATATAAAGGAAGTGTTCAGTGAGTAAATGCAGCAGCCGTGTAAACCTCTAACCAGATTAGATTTGTTCCATTGTGACATCAGGATGCCGTGACATTCGTTTTCCCCTCTGTGTTTGTGCTTCCCAGTTTCGGAGGCCTTATACTGGACAGGACAGTGAGCGATCCCAACTTTAAGGGCATGGCGGTCTTCACGCCCGTCATCAACGGTGAGCCACAGGAAGTAATGAAACCAAGAGATACGTTGGCATTTTGGTTCCTTTATTTGGTTGCACGGCACATTAATATAACAGTATTCAAACATTCGTTTTTTATGGCAAAACACCTTCAGAAAAGAAAAGGCAAATGGTTTTCATGCATGTATCTTTGAACAGATATGTTCTTATAAAGTGTCCCTTGTCAGCAAATGTCAACATTTTCTAACAGAGTCTCAGTGTTCAGTCTTTGGTCACATCCCTCAGGCCTTCTGGAAAGGCAGGACAGCCTGTCCCAGTCGCACAAAGGTCCGTCCAGTCACTCCACGAGACAACCCAAACTCTACAGTCCCGTCACATAATCCTTGAAAGCTTGGAGTGCCGAGCACCTCTATAGCTCAAAGGCTCCATCACTGGGATTTTCCACTGTGGATTTTCCTTTGTGCATTTGGTGTAAGACAATCAATTAAGAATCAAAAAGCTGCAGGGAGAATTAAGAGAATTTTTTTTTCCACATGGTGTGTACTGGCCGTGTGAGGAAGAGCTTCAAGCTTGAATGTGTTCAGGTTGGTAAAGGGCACAGGCAGCAGCATGTAGGGGTCATATAGGAGAAACTCGTGTGTCAAGGAAAATCAATACAACATTAATTCAATTATTTTCAATATTTATTTTGTATAACCCAAAGTCGAAAATTACAAATTTGGCATGACAGTCTGCACACATATATATACACACATATACAAAAATATATATATAAGTAAAAGCTAGTAAAAACATAGGGGGAAAAAAACTTGAAAAAAATGCATTCCTGAATAAGGTTTTGAGGTCAGTTTTTAAAAGAGTCCAGTACCGTACTGCCCTCAGGTGGTCAAGGAGACTGCTGAGCAAAAGGCCCAGTCGGCCGTGGTGTGGAGCTTGGTGCTGGGGACCCGGAGGAGCGAGCTGCTAGCAGATCTGAGGGTGCGGGTGGAGGTTTGGGGAATGAGTAGTTCTTGCAGATAGGGAGGTGCATGTCCATTTATGCATTTATGAGTGAGTAGTAGAAAAAATCCTCAATGAGACAGGGAGCTGGTGTAGGATGTGTGTTATATGTTCATAAGTAAATTACAGTGGTCCATTCTTGAGGAGATAAAGGCAAGATAATAAATGGACAAGCGTCTCTACATCTGACAGGGTCAAAGTGGGGCGGAGTTGGAGATGTTTTTGAGATCATAGAAGGAGGTTTTGCACAGATATCTCATATGGTCAGGTGAGGGTCAAACCGAACTCCTAGATTGGTAGCTGTGAACGAGATTGGTATGAACTGACTGTCAAAGGTGAGATGGATAATGGAGGATGACTGAACCTGGTGTGGCGTGCCAACAAGAAGGGCTTCGGTTTTGGAACTGCTTAGCTGGAGTTGCTCATCCATGCCTTTATCTCCCCAAGACAAGCGGTGAGACATGACGTAGCTGCAGTCTTGATGTAGAGCTGTGTGTCGTCAGCGTAACAGTGAAAGGACATACCAGGTTTGCTGAAGACACATCCAAGGGGGAGCATGTAGGTCAGGAGTATTCAACTAAAATATGAAGCGGTCCAGAAAATTTCTAGAAGCAAAGGTCCGGAAGATCATGATATGACTACTTAGCATTTTTCTCACCCGCCCCTTTCTCTTGCTTTCTTTGTCGCGTTGGTCTTTTTCTCAAATTTTACTGTTTCTTTTCTTCCTACCGACTTTTTTGTTGTAATTTGCCGCTACCTCTCTCGTCTGTCTACAGTATTATTAGTCTGCACAGATCATCAGTTGCTGAGGATGTGGGATTTTGCACTGGCCTCAGTCTTTTAACAATAAAAATACATAATAATAAAAAGGACAAAGGGACAAAATGTCAACCCCCCCTTATCACTGGTGAGCCTTTTTTTGGTTGCGTTGTAGAATGTCACATCTAGGGTCTGTTTAATCATGATCATGATCAGACACTTTGACACAAAGTCCGAATTTATCAAGAGTCTCTGAAAATGTGTACAACTAGGATCACATTTCCATATGACTCCTAGATCCGGGGTAGAGCTTTTATTTGTGTTTTTTCTATTCAAATGACTCAACTGTTCCTTTGCGGCTTGGCTTATTGATCTCTTCTGTTGTCACTTGGCCTAATTATGTGTGCAGGATGGCACAAATGAGGGTGATTTATGAGAACACCAAATCAATACCGGCTCTTGTGAATAAATCGGTGCGGGAAAGGGACGAGTCAAGTGCTCACCGGACCCCCCTCTGTCTCCCCTGGTCCTGTGTAGGAGTGGGTGGTAACTTGGTGGCCATCCAGGCCAGCAGGATCTCAACCTACCTGCACTTCTGGAGCATCCCCGGGGTGCTGCCCTACAAGATGAGGCAGCACTGGCCCAATCCCTGCATCTCCTTCTTCTCCTCAGGTAACGTGATCGGGCTGATTGGTATCTAACGATACGTCGAGAAGAAGTTTGTAGCTCAGAAGTTCATTTTTGTTGGCCTGTGTGTAAACTTATCTAGAAATAAATACATGAATAATCCGAAGAAACAAACGATGGTCATTGTTGATGAGCCATGTTCATTTTGCTTAATAAATGCTGGTACAAAATGCATTAGTAGTTTTATTGAGCTAGGGTCTCTAAAGTCTGATTTATGTTCCTGTGAAATTATCACCTTGAATCTAATCTCAATTTATGCCTCAAAGGATCTTAGTACTAAGGCAAAGTAGCACTGCCTGCGAAGTACTCACCCCTCTGTGTCTCCAGGGTTGAACTCAAAGTCGGCGCGGGTGCTTCTGATGCTGGTGGTCCCTGGTCACATGGTCTTCCTCTTCGCCATCTCTCTGCTGCAAGGAGAGGAGGCTCCCATCACGGTGGCCTTCACCGTCTGCTACCTGTGTGCCGCTCTGCTCCAGGTAATCCATTCGGTTTAGAGCCACATTCTGTGAGACATTGCCATGCGCCCCCCCCCTCACCCTCCTCCCCCCTACAAATAATTAATTTAGGACTTAACTATTGAGACACTCTCGCGCACACTAATGAAACACTCTTCCGTTCACTGTTGAAATGCTCTCACACACACTAGTGAGACACTCACACTTACATACATACTCTGTAAACTTGTGCATGCGCATATATAAAACATTATACACACTCATCTGAAACACTTACACGTACATATGAGAAACACATACGCATACATATATACTTTTGTGTCATACACATACATATGACATGCTTACATGTTTACAATTGAAGCATTATACGAATCTATCTTAAACACTCATACATGCACATATGAAAAGATTGTATATACATATATATATATATATATTGTTGGACACTTACATACATTCATAACTGAATTACTTGCATGTAATGCATGTGATTACAAAGATATAAAAAGTTTAGAGACATATGCAAGTGTTTCACATGTATTCATACGAGTAATCTCACTAGTGAATGTAAGAGTATGTCACCAGTCTCTCAGTAGTGTGCACAAGAGCATTTCAATAGCGAACGTTAGAGTGTCTGAGTAGTGTGCATGAGAGTGTCTCAATTGTTAAGTCGGCCCCTCATAAGAATATGTTCATTTAAAATTCTTGGGATTCTACCTAAAAACTGTACAGTGCAGTCCCCCTGTAGTCAGCCATTGGTTTGTAGACCACTGTTTCGCTATCTTAGCTTTTACAACAAGAAGTAGCACAACCAATCAAAAAGTTCACAATTACTGAAATAAAAAAAAAACAGAAGAAAAGTTGAAGTAAAAGTGAACACAGCCAAAACCAAGCCCGGTCCAAAGTGCGTCATGCTCGCCTGTCACTCATAAGGTAGCCCCACCCTAAAGCATACTTTGCTTTTTCTATAAATTGACCATGATTACCAAAACAAAACTAGACAAAAGATTGAGACCAAAAAATTCAGTTTACAATGTTTAAAATGTCAGAGGGAGTCATTTTCTCATCAGGCTTCTATACAATCACCTTTTTTTGTCTCCCCCTGCTGCTCAGTAATGAAAGTGCATGTTTTAAGGCTCTCCTGCAGGAGCTTCACTTTTCAGACCCAATCGTTGCCACCTGCTCTAAGCCAATTTTCCCCAATATATCCACATTTTGTTTTTTCCTCTGATAGCAGACTTCTCAGCTCAGTGTTCTCCTCCAAACAGGTGGCCATCCTCCTTTACTTTGCCGACCTCATCATCCGCGCGATGTGGAGGCGGAGCCTGGACCCTGACAACTTCTCCATCCCCTACCTGACCGCTCTGGGGGACCTGCTGGGGACGGGCTTTCTGGCCCTCTGCTTCCGCAGCGTCTCCCTGGTTCAGAGCCTGGGTCTCTGAATGTTTCCCCATGGACAATAAGGCAATTGTCACTGGGCCAGTCAACACAAGGAATTCCTTTTCACAAAATTTCAACTTTACAATGACAGAGAGGAGGCAAAGGGGACAGCCACTCATTTACACCCAACCATATCGGCGATGGAAACATCTACAAATCACTTGCAGCTCTCCTACCCGTATCCCTGTAACGCACAACAGCTGTTTCCTCCACTGCACCTCCAATCTAACTGCAATACACAGCTCACCAAAAACGTCCAACAGAGAAGGAGAACAAGTTAAAACAAATATTTAGACTCTGACTTAAATCCCCCACGATCCATCAGAAGAACTCTCCAGAATATGTTGCTTTTCTTTGCACATGAAGACATGTAATAAATGTGCCGCAGTAAAGTTCAGGAACAAAGTGTTCAAAGGCAAACAATTCTAAACGTACAACTTCTGAAAGGGAGAGGTTGTGATAAAGCTTTGATGTTATGACTCTTAGGGCTGATTATTTTTAACCCCCCCCCCCCCCCCCAAAAAAAATCATAAACCCTAAATAAATACAGACACTGCCCCCTCTTCTGCTGTCATTATTGCAGTCCAGTGCTACAGCATAGAAAGAACACTGTGATCTCAAAGCCATATTCAATGGGATAACCACCAACACAGCCTTTCTTCTGTACTTTTGTGAAAAAAATCATGAAGCCCTGGGATGTGCTCATATTTTTTGTGTGAATTGAGACAGATGTTTAAGTCCACATCTGACAAATATCATTCAAAGTCATGTGGGAGCATCTTGATCTCGCAATTTTGCATTATTTAACGTTACAGATTTTTTTTAAAGTGTGAGTAGAAAAACCACCACAGTGTTAAGAGATCGTAGTCTGTAGTAGATTAGGAAATACAAGCAAGAGAGATGCCTAATGTGTATATGAGTTTAATCTTTAAACATGATTTCCCAGAATGTATGCGTAAATGCACTTATGACGTCACATGAAACAATTTTGCTTTTAGACCTAATTTTAGAGGCAATAACATTGAAACGGGAGGCATCTCTAAAACAGCCATTGTTGTACAAAATTAATCTTATGTCAGGCACTTCAGTCTCAGCAGGGCTTTCAGTACTTTTTAAACCAAAAAGTAATGAAATTAATGTATATGTACAATTTAAACGACTTAATATCACTGAAATCAATGTGTGATCTGTGACACTGTGAGACTTGTCACAGGTGAGGTTGTGTTGTACATCACATGAGTGGGGCTGGATGGAATATCAGATGATCTTTATCATTAAGGGTTCTCTAAAATCATTATTTATTGTTCTCAGTTCTGAGGTTTGTCTAAGGTACATTACGACCAGTGAAATATTCTAGACCTATCACCTCATTTAATGGATGGCTACATGTACATTTTTGAAAAGAAAATCATTTAAGTTGGTATGAGAATGGTAATTTAAAGAAGTTTCATATTTTGGAAATTGTTTTTGGAATGAATTGTTACAACTTAAATGAGAAAAGTAATAGAATAAGTATGTGACGGTGAAAGACTGGAAACATGCACATCCTTCTTTACTAGTAGTCTAAAGTTGCCTTAGAAAGCCGAGTTAATGTCAGATGTGTCTAATATCCTCACTCACATAGTCATGCTGTAATAACTTCATTTAAATGTCTTTTTGTTTGTGCTCTCTGTTAGCAAAGATTCATACTGTACTTTAATGTTGACACTGCCATGTAATGAATGTAGGAGCTTTAGAAATACCTTCATCTTGTCATCCTGCAGTGTTCACCGACACCAGTCATGTCCTACGTGTGCGCTTAAAAATGTGTGTGGAAAGTGTGAAATCAATTATGTGACAAATGTCTGGTGACTGTTTATGTGACTTTGTGGCTATGAAGTTATATTTTAATAAAAACGAGTAGTATAACAAAATACCACACACTCAGATCAACCCCAAATCAGATGACTTCTTACTTTGTTGACTGATTAAGTGGAAATATCAATAAAACAATTACCAGCCAGGTTTCCATGAGAATTTAGCACAAATATAATCGATTTTAGAGTATTGATTATAGTCTGGCTCATTATTCATGTCAGTGTGGAACACACACACACACACACACACACACACACACACACACACACACACACACACACACACACACACACACACACACACACACACACACACACACACACACACCTTGTTGTCATTGAATTGTCTTTAATCATTGAAAGAAACTAAACTGCGTGCACACACACACTCGTAAAAGGTTGGTCACAAAAAGTCCTTAATGTGGAGTTTTGATCCAGTGTTGCTGCTATGGGATACAGATGAACAGGTATTCAAATTCACATTTTGCTCCTCTGAGTGAGCTCTCCAGCTGGTCATGCAGCAAGCATAAGGGATGTGAGCCCTTATTCTGAGTTTACGACACTACGTGCAGTGAACATGGAACTATTAGACCGTGGAGTGAATACATCTAAAGAAATCCTGTACTTTGCTGGATACAAAAGAGTCCATAAAAAAAGGAATCAGAACATTAAATTAACTCAAAATATAAAACTATTTCAAAGAACAAACGGATTAGAAAATTATATCTACATCTGTATATAAAAACAAAAGATCATAAATTAGATGTGTTCTTTTTTAAATTATATATCTGTAAAAGTGAGTGAGGATGAACAATCAAGTCAATAAACATCGCTGCATACCAGAGGTGTGCAGACACGGGTCAACAAGCACACACTTTACTTTGGAACTCTTTAGTTGGAAGTCTTCTAACCAGTGAGGCCTGATGGCTCTCAAACACGCGCACAAATCTCGCCTTTGAGATGATATCCGTGGCCATTTCAAATGTCAGTGGGTCGTAAAGCCCTTCAGGGTCGCAGCAAGCGGACAGCGCGAGGAAGCAGAGGCAGGCCGAGCCATGGCGGTCCACACACACACACATGATTGGTGGTCAAGAAGGCCGAGTCCACTTGACCGTCGGGCACAGTGCTGCAAAGAGAGCGCCTCCGACCTCTATGGTGCGCACCCAGAAAACCCTGATCTGGTGGAATGCGGTTTGCGAATGCGGCGCTGTACGAGTGCACCCCGTCCAGAATGAAGGTTTGGTAAGAAAGGCGAGAGTGAGTGTGTGCGTGCGCACATGGAATTAAAAGGAGCAGAGATTAAGGGACGCGGGTTAAGGCACCTTGGAACCCTGATGAATCCGAGGCACATTCCAGGACAGGAACTCTAGAGGCCTGGTGGGCGTGTGGTGGAAGTTGGTAGGCGCTGATCCATTAGGGAGGTCTCTGCTGTGTCCCGCCCCCTACAGTGTGTCCATAGTGGGTGGGTGTGACTGGGTGGAGGTCTCCATGTGGACGGCTCCTTTGTTTGTTTACAATCATGCGGTGTGGAACCCACAAATTTTGCATCTCAGGAGATGCGACAACTTGTATTTGCCGCGTACAGGAAGCCGGGAGGACCACAGCTGGATGGAACCACCACATCTCCTCCAACAAGACGCGTGGAAAGTGTTCCGAAGTCGCTGCATGTTTAGCTTGTTTCCCAAAATGTGGTAGGATTCCTTTAAGACACAAAACGCACACACGCACGCACAACTCCCAACACTGTCCATTGTTTTCTATACATTAAGATCATTGTGACTATGTTATACAATATCTATATAAACACACGTACATCAGTTGTGTATCTGCATCGCTTGCCGCGCCTTCAGGTTGGAAAAAGGTAGAAGGTCTCGTTCCCACGAAACTGAAGAAAAGCACAAGGAACTACAGGTTTGGTGGAAAATGTTCCGTGTCAAGCATAATCGCACAAGAACCTGCAGGAATTTTACCTGGGGAGCTGCTCAAGGGAGGCTGTTGTTGAGGAATGGAAGTGGAGTGAGCAAGCAACACAAGGTTCTCTTCTGCTTTTCCGGACTAGAACACCAACACAAACTGACCAAACTGACTTGAAATGTGAATCATACATTTGGTCCGGTTTGTTTCAGTTGAACAACAATCGATCCTGCAGGAAAGAAGAGACCGCCGAGTGTAGTGACTCCAGCAGCACACACGTCCGTGGCGTAGAGCCCGAGGTGGAGTACGGGAAGAGCCGTGTGCAGCGATGGGAGGCTTCATGCGTGGCTCGTGATGGACTGACTCAGCCTAAACGGGCTTACAGTTAAAACCTACTAAGCAGCATTAGTGTTGGACTTAAAAAGGGAGCCAAAGTCCCAAAGTGAAAAGGTGCAAGAAAGAGGTTGGGTCGGTGGTCGCAGTTGTAGAAGCAGTCACTTGGGCACCAGGCCGCGGGATTGTGGGTAGAGCGGGGATCCTGGACTTGAGGGGCTGTATGGAGAGGTGGGGGTGCTCGACTTCTTGCCGGTTCTTGGTCGACTGAGTAAGAGAGAAACGACGAACAAAGTGAGCACAGAAGGTCAAGAGCTCACCATTGAGATGTTTTATTTACTGTTCTCAGCTCTTAACCACATGCACATAACTGACCCTTTGCTAAATCTTTAATTATTTATTCTTGTATCTCCAGAATGTCAAACTGATTCAGCTGTGAAAACCCATTAAACAGATTAAACACAGCGTGAACGTGAACCACGTCAGCTGGTGATCCAGACAATTGGAACTGTAAACATGATGTAGCTAGCGTAGGATGGCAGTACTAATGCTAGATGATGACGACGATGATGATGCAATAATAACATACTACGCTAATGTTCCCCTTTACGTCCAAATTTCTTCCGACAAAAGTTCTTAAATCTGATCCGTTCTCTCGTAAACATTCTTCGTTTTAATAATGGCGGTATCGGGCTATGAAGGCGGAAATGTGAGACTCCGTAAAGGATGTAGTTAGCGGACCAATCGCAGCCTGGTGCGCTGCGGGAGGCTTGCGTTGCTTTCGACGCAAGCCTAGAAAAATGGCTCGACACACGCAAGGACGCAAGGAGGTGTGAAAAGCGACGCAAGGGACACGCAAGGGGGGCTTGCGTCTGCGTCGCTCTGAAAACGCAGGAGCATAAATCAGGCTTTAGCCTCACCTGGACTTTGGTTTCTTGAGGCTGCCGCCTGCAGGTGGGGCTGATCCCAAGCGGCTGTGAAAGCCAGAGGCATCCACCTGGATCTCATCCTCATCCTTAAGAGCGCTCTCCAGAGCTGCCGCCACCTTAGGGGCGATAACCGGCTCCTGGTACTCTTTGGTGGTCCGAGCGGGCAGGTCCAAGTCCAGCATCATGATGTTTTCACCCTGAGGAGGAGCACAGATGAATAAGTCAATCCTGGCACATTGGCTTGTCAAAGATGAACTCCTATCAGGGTTGTGTGTAAATTGTGAATATCAGGGGGGCGCCCCCAGACATTGTGTAGGTGGGCAGGGTGTCATTTCAGGGGTGACGCGGACAGAGACCGCAGAGTACACAGACTACTGCCCCACCTGAACCCCCCAGTCAAACAGGACATGTAGTTCTAGATGTCAAACTAGAGATTGAGACCATAAAGCCACATTTAAAATGTTTACTAAGGGGATAAAAATCAAGAGAATTAGTGTCATTTTCTCACAGACAGCAGAGAGCAGCTTCAGCGCGAAATCACGTTATTATTGGAGAAATTGGGGGAATGTTTAACATGATCACTACAGGAATTCAGGATTCCTGTGCACTTTACAATATTCACTAAATATCCATGTAATGTTTGTTTCACCTTTACCTCCACTGCTTGGTTTTGTATCAAGACTCTTGTGTGTGTGAATGCATGAACATTTAGCGATGGAAAGCGTGAGCAGCTTACTTTGTATCTCATCTCAGGTCTCGTGATCATGGCCATGCGAGCATAGTGACTGAGAGGCCTCCTGCAGCCAACGGCGGACAAAGGCCTGCTCATCATCTGATGGTCACTGAGGCGGACACACAGAATGACAGTGTATACAGCTTTGTGGGAAGATTCCATCTCAATGGATCACAGTGGTTCTGCCGTTACGCAGAAACTACAATCACAACGATTACATTGCAACATATAGCAAAAAATTCCCTTTTCCACTGAACACAATGGGAATCCATCATTAGGTCTACTTCTGTCAATTTAAATAACAGATGGATTGTTCGCAATACAACATTTTTAGAGATTCCGTTGCATATTTTAGCCGACACAAAAAAACGTACGTGCAATGTTGCCGATGGCAACAGCGACCTTTTCCACCTGCGAACGGCTGACTTAACATTACAAACATACGGCAAACACTGCAACAAATCACACCAGACTAACTACACGTATTTGATTTAAAAGGCATGAAATGTTCAAGCCGTTCATCCTCTTACTAAAGCTTTGAACAATTCTTCTTACCGGATGAAACATTTACCGAAATAAAGCATGTCAGGGTGATTCTGACTTACTCCTCTATGCGTGTGATGGGCTTTATTTTCCAGTATTCGTCCTCCTCATCAAAGTAAGCCCTGTTGACTATTTTGTTCTTCTCCTCCAAGGGGATGAAGTTCTCGATGATCAAATGCCTGAAAGAGGAAGAGGCGAGCAATCAGACGGTAGCAGTGATTGAATAGGCAGGAAGTCACCAATGTCAGTGTAACAAAACATATTCACAACCAGGAAACCAAAGAAAAAGTGCAATAGATGTGTGTGGAGAATGACTGACATCATAAAACTAAGGCATAGTCCATCCATAGGACAATAGTTCACACATCTAATACACACTACGCCAGTAGAATCAGCTGTAGACGTGCAGTTGTGAAGAGAGCACATGGAGACGAATATAAAAGGAGCTTTAGCTCCTCGTTTCAAAGGGCTGCCGACATCAAAGTGAAGCGGCGCATCGTTCCTAAAAAGAGCCACACTTCGACTGCTCCTGTGCTGGTACTCCTGCCGGTTCCATCAGACTGGGCGCATTCTACCTGCCGTCTACTCCAAGTAGTACACTTCTTGTTAAGGCCGGCCCACATGGCCTCAAAATAAAGTCAGATTAAATTCACATCCCAATGAGTTATATATCCTAAAATGCTGTTCTTTATTATCTTTAAGAGACACTGGCATTGTTACTTTTACTTCACTTATTGTTTGAATGAAACAATATTCCCCTCATCACACAGGTAGTGGTGTAACAGACCACAGTGAATCCGTGATCCATCCGGATCGGCGGGTGTGTAGACTGCTGACAATTGCAAACATTCCATCTGTGTTTAAACTGCCAGGAGGAGAGCTAGCCGACGTTAGCAGCACGGATGATGGTTCCCCTCAACATGCTGCGTCCTCGGCTCACGGGGGTCAGAACACGGAGGGTCTCCTGCAGGCTCCCTACTTGAGTTTGAGGTCCCTGGTGAGTTCGTTCTGGGTCTGTTCCAGCTCCTGGCGCTCGTTGATGTGAGCCTCCTGGATGTCGTGGATTTCTGCCTTCACCGCCTGCAGCTTGGCAAACAGCTGGAGGAGGAGAGTATTCCCTTACTCAGAGGACTTTTTACAATACCACGCCTTGGAATTCGCCTTAAACATTTGGCAGATATTATGAGCATTAAATTATTCAAATAGAAAAAAAACAAAGCAAAAAGTGTATGTTGCCTCATATCACCGTATGGAAATAGTACCTGGCCCAATTACTTGCAGATATATAGAACTACTGAACATGCAGGCAACATGCTTTTCAAAATAAAACTCACCCAGTCTGTAATAAAGCCTTCACAAACAATCATGTACATATTTATGCTAGCTGGGTATTTTATGTGCTGGACTTTATTTTATGCTCAGGACATATTAACTAGGCTGTGATGTGTCTTATAGACGAGTGGAGAGTTAGAGAGAGTTACCTTCTTCAGCTTCTTGGTTTTGATGTCGACCTCTTGGTGCAGAGAGCTGTAGGTCTCCTTCAGCTCCAGAGTCTCTTCGTCGCGGTTTTCCATCTGCTGCTGCATCTCCCGCTCCCGCCGTTTCTGGAAACACAAAAATGTTCCAAATCAGCGGGCAGTTACACGGGCCTCCTTGTAGGACTCTGGCTGGCTGGTGGCACTTAACAAAAAAGAGACAATAAAAAAAAGGAGCGGAAAATCTGCAAATGCGTTTCGTGGGACACAACTTAAAGATCCAAATAGTCCACGGTCTCGGCCGGGACTCAAGTCCCTGCTCTGGCCGTTATTATAGAACAGTGAAAGTCAGACAACGGATATCTGCTCCTGGCGATGGACGACTTGGTGCTGTGGGAAGCTTTCTGCCACTCCTACTTCAATCAAGTCTTCTATCAAAGGACATGTCTCTGTGGGGACTGGCTGATGGTCTACACGCTTGTAGCCACTGATGATGATGATGATGATGATGAGTGTCTTGGCAGTTGATCTTGGACGTGGGCTTTATTCTCTGAACGTGGATTACCAAGTTAGCTTAATTTCATTGCTGTAGAAGAACACAGTCTAGATTCGTCAATTCTGAGACGGATTCTACTGTAATCCACACCTGCTGTTGTGAAACCTGAATAGGCACCCCACTAACATTCAGCTGGATCCCAGACACCCCCCTTGTTGCCTGCTATGTGACAAACATATCTTTATTCAAATGTTCAGGGTACCTGCTCAGCAATCTCCTGCCTCCTCAGCTCCAGCATCTTCTGTTGCTCGTTGGTGTGATCCACGATGTTCTTCCCCCCTACCAGGAGCTTACTCTCCATCGCCTGGATTCACAAGAAATAACACATTGGGGAGAAACAAGTTTGTGACTGCTTGTGTGTGTGTGGAGTCCGATGGGCTTTGAGCCTGTACCTTTTGATCTCATAATCAAAAATCCCTCCGATGCATACTGGACGAAAAGAAACAGTCTGCTTAAATTGGCTTACCTTCACTTTGGCTGAAAGCATCTCTCCAGCTTCCCGCTCCTTCTTCAAATCTTCCATCTTCTTCTCTTTTTCCTTAAGCAGCAGAACTTTCCCCTCAGCCACCAGACTGTGATCCTCCATGATGGCCTTCCTTTCCCTCTCCAGCTTCTCCTGCTGCTCCCGCCAGTAATCCGCTTTGTCGTCCTCGTCCTCCTCCTCGTCCTCCATTTCTCCGTTCTCCTGGTCCTCCCCGTCGCTCCCGTCCCTCCTCCTCCCCCTCCTCTTTTTCTTCCTCCCCGAGCGCTTTTGCAGCTGCTCCTTAAGCCTGGCGATTTCCTCCTGGAACTCCCTCAGCAGGGCGTCCTTGGGGTCCTCATTGATGTGCGGTTTGTTCTTGATGTTCTTCGCCCTGTTGGAATAGCGCAGCGTCGTCAACGTCTCCTCCACGTTGTAGGACGCCGGGCCGATGTTGGCGACCATGACGGTGCGGGCGTTGCCCCCCAGGGAGTCCTGCAGCAGTCGGGTGAGTTTTGAATCTCGGTAGGGGATGTGGCTGCTCCTGCCGTCCACCAGAGACGATATGACGTTCCCCAGCGCTGACAGGGACAGATTGATCTTGGTGGCTTCTTTAAGCCTCTCCCCCTGAGCACCGGTCTTGGTCTGCCGTTCGCTCCCGGCCAAATCGACCAGGTTCAGTTTGCCAACTCTGATGTGGTTCTCCCCGTCGTCATCCAGCTCGCTGCACTCCACGGTGATGACAAAGATGGCGTGCGAACGGGAGCTGTGCTCGTTCATGTTCGTGGCACCCACCGAGCGGTTCTGGTTGCCCACGTTCATGACACGTTCAATCTCCCGTACGCTCTTGGTGACAAATGACGAGAGGTCCTTAACGTACACGCCGGTGTCGGGCCGCTCTCTGAGCTCCAGGCGACGCGTCTGGTCTTTGGAGAGCAGATCTTTGATCTCCTCTTGGTAAATTTCGAGATACGATGCTCTCACCAGGTACTGCTGATTCTGGGAGCGGGAAATGTGAGTGAAGATGTGCTCAAAGGAGTTTGGAATCACCCCTCTCCTCTCTATATCGTCTCTCACCCCCTCCATAGTGTAGGTTTTCCCTGTACCGGTCTGCCCATAGGCAAAGATAGTCCCGTTGAAACCGAGAAGTACAGAATCCACCAGGGGCCTGAAGGTTTCATCGTATAAATCTATTTGTTTGGAGTTCCAGTCGTAGACTGAATCAAACGTGAAGACTTTCGGGTGTTCGCTGGCCGAGGCCTCCCTGGGGTTCCTGACCACGATTTGGCCCAACTTGACATCGACGCCAACCACGCTTTGAAAGTTGGCTGCCAGCTCTCTTTCATTCATGGGCCGACAACGGACCACCACCTTGACCGACTCGGAGCTCTTGCTCTTAGACATGTTGCGTAGCGTCTATCGACCCCGGCGGCTTGGCCCTCAGGACTGCAGCTTCACGACCAGTTCACCAACACAGGGGCCCACATCAGACTCAGTTGGAGAAGACACGTTCAATGACAACCTGCAAAGGAAATGATCATGATGACTCAACAACGGGAGGGCCAACGTCTCTCACACATGTGTACATACACAGACTGTGGGGATTACATAGCTAGCGGGTTGTGACCGACACCGGTACATCAGTTCCATACTCCCTGGTACAACGTACTAGACGAGCATTGGATTTTTCCAAATGTAAAAACAACAAGCAGTGACGTGGCTGTGTGATAATTATGTTAAAACGAGTGAACAAACAATTCAGAACGTTACGTGCCGTCAATGAGACGCAGAACATGAGGAAACCGTTACACACTGTTCGGAGTTAGCCGACATTACAGTCACTGTTGAGCTAGCGTTAGCTACCGTTAGCTAACATAAATGAAGGCTGGTAACGGGCAAATATCATCTATCTTCACTTCGGCAGTCGACGTTGGATTTCTAGGCATTTGGGCAACTGCCGCCATTAATGTCATGTTGATAACCCATTGTGTTATCGGGGCTCAGTTTATGATAGCATTTTACAAAGTAGAGGCTCAGCTAACCGTTAGCCACTAAAATGCAGCCCATAACGAGCCCACAAGACCGGCCTAGCAACGGCAAACACTACGCTAGGTGACCTGAGCTACGAGGCTGATAGCCTCGCTCTACCTGGCTAACACTAGCAGCGAGGGCAATAAATCAATGAAACATAGCGCAGTAAAGAAAGAGAAAAAACACGCGGATTGTGGACGCATTAAGTCCAAGCAATATAAGCACAACAGTCCACCCGAAATACTAAATCGTCGTTTTTACCTGTGGCGAACGTTAGCTAATCCAGGACTCCCAGTCCCTGCTCATCCCGACAGCGGTCCCGGTTACAGAGTTGCCAGACTCCGCACTACATCCCTCCTCTCAGAGTGCGTGTGAATACAGATTAGCGCTTACAAATGGCGAGATCGGAGTGTACGTACATATTTCGCTTATGCAGTTCATTCTGTCACTGGGAAAAACTGAATGAATAACGAGGTGGTAAAAACTAATACATCCATTGTGAACAACACACATGTAAGGTATCCTGCGCATATCTGGCAACCAAGTCTCTCCGACAGAGCTTAGTGCATCAGCTGATTCAACTGTACTCACAAATAAGCTTCCAGTCAGGGAGTGAGACAGGCTGCTGGTTATTTTAAATCAGTCTGCATCACTTTATTGTGAAAAAATATATAGAAACCATTCAACTTCAAATTGAGTGCATTCACTGCTTTAACAAAGATAAACCATTATCTTTCCCCATCTGCATTTAATCAGCCTGTGCAAATCAACTATTTCTATCTTACCAAAACATTTGGTAGAAATTTCTACACATTTTCATTAGTGTTTTGGTCCTGATGATTTAAGAGGTGGAGAGAGGGTCTCCTTTTTCCTCCCTATAATTAGTGTGTGGAGGAGGATCAGTTTACTGAGCTCTCCTTGGAATGGAGGGCAGAGAGAAAAACAGAGCAACCTGGGAAAGGCAAGTAGGGCTGGAAAGGTGGGGGAGAATATGATTGCTACCACCGCAGTTCTTTTCCCGGGTTCAGTATAGGGGACACGAACAGGTGGAAGTCAAGGCTTAAAAACACATACTGGATTTCGAAGGCGGGAACAGACAAAAATAAATTCACCAGGTCACAGCATTGATCATACTTCCTCACAGCCTAAAACCCATTCAAAGTACGGGCCTTCACGGACCATATAAATCCTCTCTGCCTTCCACTCGCTCCCCCCCGGCCCTCTGGCGCTAGCGTCCGCACGTCACCCTCGTGCTCACAGTTCTTCTTTGGGATTCGATACCCCGGGCTTGTCCATGCCAAAGAAAGAGGACGGGAGGCCGCGAACGTCCCGTTCTCTCTTCACGAAGGCGGAGAAGGAGGACACACAGTTTCCGATGAAGTGGTCGGCCCTGCCTAGGATGTACAGGTCCATTTGGGCCGAGTCCGGCTTAAGGCTCACCACTTTCACCTGAACAGCCAGGAGGAAATAAACAGGTGAACAATCAGGCAGGGAAAATGGGGGAGAATGTAGAGCAGAAGTTTCTCATAAAACACTCGGGTTTGCGGCACAGAGACTTCGCAAACTGACCTTGCCCTTGAGGAGCTTTTCAATTTCCACACTGTGGGATTCGGAGTCTGTGGCGATGTAGACGGAGCGGGCCGAGGTCCTCTTCGCCCACAGCTTGACCGCCCTGCGGATCTCCCCCAGTTCGGGGAGGCACATGCTCATGGTCAGGGGCAAGGCCTTCTGGCGGTTGTAGCCGACGCACTGCGGAGAGGCCATGAAGTGAGGCCCTGCGTCGCCGTTCTTCAGCATTTTGCAGGCATTTTGCTGTACGGGTGGAATGACAAGGAGGTTACTTGGATGCAATGAGAGAATTAAAAACGGAGAAAGTTTCTCAGACCCGTGAAAACTTTCAAAAGCTACATGTGTCTAAATTAATAAGAAAAGTGTTTGTTACTTCTCACCATGTCACTAAAATGTATCTTAAAAGCGTACTAATTTCCGGCTGTTTGAATAACCAAAAAAACATTTATTCACAAACATGGACAGTGAGCGCAAGGTTTCCCGCCGTAAATGGCACTGAAGCCCAGCGCCTTTGGTGAGAACTGAGGCCTAAAGCAGATCATCATCTCTCTTCTTCTCCGTTACCAGGATGGAGACTAGAAGCCAAGCAGAGGCCTGTGTGTCTGAGTTTAAGCGTCTCCACCAGGGACAGACACACAGCTGTTACACGCCTAGCGACTGAGCTGTGGGACTCTGATCACTGGCGTGTTCAGCTTCTCTCGGCCTATAGGCAGCAAATACAAAAAGGACACTGGTGAAGACGGAGGGGATGAGCAAATGAAGAAGCTGGTGTCACAGGCTGCCTCTAACCACCCTGACTTCCCGACCGAAACAACAAACCGTGGTTTACAGCTTCACTCAGGAGGCCTGTAGGTGAGGGGGACAGAATCCTTTTCACTAGGCCACAAAAACCGTTGGCTTGTTATTATTATTATTTATATGTGTGGACATGACGTATCAGAGCCAACCGAGTACTACAATGAACTCTACCATGGCCAACAAACCCAATATAAAGACAAGCACCCTGTATTTTATTTGTATACTCTCACATACAAAGTGCTATATAATAATGCCCATAACATGCACTCATCTGACACAGAAAACCGTTCCCAACAAATGTCTTATCTCCTGCGGAATGAGTGACGATTACAAACTACAGCGAGCAGCTGTTTGAGGAAACTACCTCCCCACAGATTAAAACAACGATTAATTGTGTGTGTGCGTGCGTGGGAGGATACGAGATAGAGGATAGAGAAGACGACCGCTGGCGTATCCCGAACCCGAGCTCACAAGCGCTGAAGCACGTCTTACCCAGTCAACGCCGATCCTCAGGTGAATGCCGACGTACGGCCTGGTCAGCAGGGAGGCCACGTGCTTCTCCCCCTCCTCCATCATCTTGTTGGACCACACCACAAAGCGCTGCAGGCTCACATGCTCCTCTGACACTGGGAACTGGGCGGGGGCACCGGGCAGCGCCAGGACAGGGTGCTGCGAGGGGGGGAACCTGGTTGGACGGGGGAGGGGATGGTGTGCATGTTTTGTGAGGTGGTTGTATGAGGTACTTCTCCCTACTCTTACTGCAGTAGATGGAGTTTGGACACTACATCCAAAGCGCCTATGCATATTCTGATTACTTGAATAGGCCATCTACTGTAGTATTACACTAAGCACAGAGGAATACGTCATACAACCCAACGACAAACAACGCAAACTATGCCTTTACTTCAAAAGAGGCCCTGCGTGTCATAAAAAAAAGAAGAAAGCTCAGTCCTTAGCTGTGAGGCCAGCTACGCTCCTCATGACGAAAACATCTGTCCTCATTTTGAAATGCTGCTCCAACAGGCACTCACCTCTTCATCCACTGAGGTTGGTGGTGGGCACTGAAGGAGATACCAGCGAACAAGACTGACGCATCAAAGTCCACGCCGACATGGTCCCAAAACGGACCAAACGGATTCCCATCCCTGAAAGGCAGCAGAACCCCCCCCACCTGCATATCAGAACTGCCCTCTGGTTACTCATAACAGGCAGCATTTCCTCCTCAGGCTGGTCACCACTAACAAGGCTTTAAAAGAAATAAGATCTCATCTCATCTTTCTGACACAGATGCATTCAGATATAATCTGTGATTCAGATTTACCATCTACTCACCTTCATGGGGCAGGATTTCTTGTCGGAACTGCGCTGCGCAGCAGTCTCAAAGCAGTAGGCTGTCCTCTGACTTGGGGGCCAGTGTTTGGACGCCAGTTTCTCCATGAAGTCCTCCAGACTGACTACGCGGTGGTAGGCTGATAACGCCTCCAGCTGGAAGAACTCACTGTAGGGAACGTGCACCTGAAACAATGGAGAAGAAAAGCACGGTCCAGAGAGGGTTCAAAGAGCAGGGCTGGGGATATTCAAAACCGTTGTTGTGAACATATCATGATAAGATTAGAGGCAATGTTTTCAGGTCTTTTCTGACCTCTCTGTAAACATGCAGGTGTATTTCTGGGGGACCTTTTCTTATTTTTGGTTCTAGTGAGTGTTTCCAGCAGCAGGGCGGTGTAAGTGGGTCTGACTTGAATTGTCTCAACGTTTTTCTTTGTCATTCAAAACCTCGGAAACCTCCATTTTCACATGATATAGAACAGTTTACTGAATCAACTCTCAATATACTTTTCTTTCTGTACATTGAAGCTGTACATTAGACACAATTCTTGCTCGATTTGAATTTCACATTTTAAATTTGAGTTATAAGAATTTTCTTATACTATTCACTTCACACCCAGCTTTTAAAAACGATTTCTAGGACTCTGCTGCTGTAACATCATCGGGACTTGAAGAAATAACCTATCGATCTACTCAGTCGTCACGTTGTGGAGCAGCAATGGGTGACAGTACTCACATTGGTGTAAGGGGGCGCGTGGTGGCGATACACGATCCACGGAGGGACCGCCAGCGTTCGGTTCAGCATCTTTGCAAAGGCGAGAGATCCCAGGAAGTGATCTGCCTGGTTTCCGAAGCGACCTGAACAATAACAGCGGGACACTCTATGCTCTCGGTGTACTCCTTACTCACAAGAAAACCGAGACAGTACCTGGAGGGCAGGTGGGGACCACCGCGCGCTAGAAACAGCTGTTTACATGTCAGTTAGCTGCTAAGTAGCTAACGCACTGCTCTGCACTGTTCAAGCTTTTTCAAAGTTTCTACTTATGTTTCTCTCTATTAAACTCCAAACCGTGCAGCGTAGCTCGGGGGTTTCATATTTACGATAAGTAACGTTAGCGATAACAAAACCGTCTGAATGAGAGGCGTTGGGGACGGGATAGCTTGGCTCTTACCCATGCACGGGCAGTACAGCACGTAGCCGCTCGGATCCCACGTCAGCTCCCCGCCGAAAGTCCGCCATGGTTGGAGTAGAAGGGCCAAAAGTAAACTGGTTAGTTTGAGGGCATGAACTGCTTGTTGCTTAACCGCCATTGTGGTTCATTTTAGATCCCAGAATGCACCGGTGTAAAGTCCGCTTCGTTGGTTCTAACGAGGAGGGTGAAACGCGCGTCGAACACCGCTACTTCCGCCCGGTGGACCGGAGGTTTTAGGAGCGTAGTGGACTCTTCATTAGGCAGAAGGAACATATTGACGCCATGACAGGGAATTAGCACAATAAAAGAAAGGATTTAATTAAACAACCTTGAGATAATATTTTATTGAAAAAAGGAAAAAAAACTTTTTTATAAGAGAACGATCGGGTAGAAGATTGACAGTACATAGATGTTAGCTTTTTATTTGTCAAATAATCAGTAGCAATAACAAAATAAAACAATTCTTTTACATAAGACATTTTAACATTTTTTTTCAAACCACTCAGGTCGGCTAATAAATCTTTTTTTCATTTTTAGTATTTCTGTCATCAAGTATTTCTGTCATCTGGACATCCGGTCCCCCACTGACTGACTATAACATTCCACCGGTCACTCACCTTCACACTGCACATGTCACTTTAACTGTAATTTATCACTTTGTCGTCACTCGTCACTTTGTTACTTGTTCTTTAGTGCACTTTATGCTTAACATTTTCTTTAACTTTTTTAATATTTAAATTTTTTTACTTTATTCCCTTGTTTTATACTAACCCATAGCCTTAGTCTACAAACCCATTGCATTAGCATCTCATTTTACTTTATTTTATTACTTGTGCACTGCTTTTCTTGTCTATTGTCGCACTGTCCACTGTCGCGCACCAACCGCCAAGACAAATTCCTTGTATGTTTGGCATGTTTTGGTAATAAATGTTTCCTGATTCCTGATTCCTGATTCCTGGACCCTTTTTGCGGTTAATAAACATGAATGAAGTATGCCAATTTGGTACAGCAAAATACCTTCATTTAGTGGAGAGACCAAGTGTGTAATGTTAGGGAGACATCAGGGTCTGGAAGTCACTTGACCATTCGATTCCACTATCTGTGTCCGAGTACAGGACATAAAACCCCATGACGGAGACTCAGAGGTGTAGGTTGTGGCCAAAGAAGTATACTCCTCACTACTTTAACCCCCTCCATGGGGTTAAAAAGATATGAAATGCACACTTCTTGAAAAGTTAAGAAAAGACAACTGGGGTGTTTAGTCTGCCATGGCGAAATGGCGAAAACTTTCAGAAAGTCCATTTGACCTGGATGGATGAATGAATAGACCTTTTTAAAACATCACATGGTTTTGTATACTCTTGTGTGAATGAAAACTACTGAGTATTTCTTCAGATATTTAAGAACTTTGGTGCTGTCACCAAAGTGCTTTCTTTTAAAAATCGGAGTCAGTTGTACTGGTTATTATTTATTTGGACGACATATTTGTGTACTACGATATCTTAATATACAACTTTGTCGCAATTAGATTCCATTGGTAGACAATTGATTATCATATAGAATTGTCAACGGGCTCCTGATACAGACCTTCCTGCTTGCCCTCAGGATTCCCCATCTGGAAACCCAACAGAGCCAATCATCATGTCCGATGATAAAAGGAGCAATCCTCCTCATTAGAAGCTCATACATGTGTGATCAACTTGCACAAATCCAGCGAGTAAAACGTGGCCGGGGTGCGGCCTCCAACTCTCTGCCAGCCTGCCTCGTTTGTCTGAAGGGAGCCATAATTGCTTAAACGTGTCACATTAAAGAGATCATTTATCTGGGCGTTGTGGTCGCTCCAATCTGCAGGCAATTTGTTGTCCATTGTCAGCCCGAGAACCGAGGGCGTGTCAGCCAATGGTGGTGGTAGAATGTTACCCTCTAACAAATAACACCACACATCCGTTTTATCAGTTCAAACCATAACTCGTGACTTTTGTGTCGCTAGGTCTTCACATGAGCTTTTGGAGACCACTCGGGCCCTGTTGGCTTTGAACAGTTCCCTAAACCCCCTCCACATCCTCCTGTTCAGCCAACCCCATCGGACCTGTTCCTCCTCTTTGTGCTCCATCACTTTTCTTTTCTCTGCGATGCTTGACAGCTGGCCGCTCTCTTCTCTCTCTCTCTCTCTCTTCCTGTGTCACTCCTCCCCCACCCGTGAACGCACACTGTTACTCATTGTTGGAGATGACAGCGATTAGAACAATGCAGAAGGAGCCACAACTCACAACGTGGAGTTATACGGGGAGAAGACCGGGGAGGGTTTAATCAGCTGAACAAATGACAAAGTGCACACCTTACTTTAGTGAATTCTCTCTCATTATTGGATATTTGTGTTCAAATGCTAGTAAATCACTTATTTTACAAGATAAAGTTATGCATTTAGTTTTTTACGGGACATCTCTGACTCACAGTTCTGTGGTTTAACAATCTCATTTCCTTTTTCCGATCCATAAGTTCCTCACACACATAACATTTTACATTATGAAGCTGCAGATGCCCGTTCCACTTTCTGCCTCTGTGGCCTTTCAGGAGAGGGAAAGAAGGTTGTCAACCTCCAACAACCCACCTCCGGTTTTTACTGACAACATGGCTTTCAGTTGCTGTGATTTGCCAGAGACCAAACTTATCTAATGTTGAACCGCCGTTTTGTCCACTGTCTATAAAACAACATATGACCTTTTTTGCCCTAAAGTTAATACATATTCAGTATGACATGAAAAGGAAAAAATGTATAGTATAGTGCTTCCGGCTGTGAAAGTTGTATTAAGATGAATGACAAAAAATGACAGAATACATGTTTTTGGCTCCAGATTTACTCTCAACTTTAGGCTTCCTGATTCAACATTCAGTGACGAGTAAAACAGAGAATCTAACATGTATATAAACATGTCATTGAGGTTCTGTTCTGAGTGATCAGAATTGAATCAAACAAATAGTAGTTGTCGAGACTTTAATGACCTAATATCCATTTTCATTTATCCTTTAAGCTAAAAGCCTGTGTTTGGCTGCTGTGCTTCTGAATGAAAACATCAAAGTAACAAAAACATTTTGGAGGTTAAGATTTCTTTATTTATTGTTTTGCAAACACTGTTGAATAAATTGTATCTTTCCTCTCACTTTTGGCCACAGCATGCCTTAGTGATGGAAAAGTAAATAGTCATTTGGGTTCTTAAGATTTACCTTGGCCTTTAATTAGTAGTTTTAAGAATACTAAGCAAACTGTGTTGACGAAATGCTTGCTTTTAACCCCCTTCAGCACGTGTGTGCCACCCATGTACCTTATCAACCTGCTGCAGTCCCCCGGTGCCGGCTGCTTGCGACCTGATACCCTTAAACCGCCTTCGTCACAGAAAACTCTATCTCCGCCGAGATAGACTTCCCCACCTCCCGCTCTGGCGAACACGTAAACAGGAGGCGAAGAGGGCCGTTATTTGCATGTTGTGTAACATTTGTGTTTTTGCCAGAAATCATTGATTTTGAGTGCGTGAGAAGTGAATTATGACCAAATAATAACTTAATTAATTTTAATTCCTTTATTTTATATATATATATAGTTTATATAGACTAAGTGTGTCATTTTGTTATTGCCACTGATTATTTTACCAAAAAAAAACAAGAAAAAGCATTGACTAGAACTCCACCGTAAAAATGACAGCGTCACCGTATTAGACATTACGGGATGTTTTTTTTAAACTGTAAATTTCACAGTTCGGAACTGTTATTTGTTTACAGTAATTTGCTTTAAAAACAATATACGGTAAAATACCAGCAGCAGTGGTTGCCAGAACTTCACCCTAAAATTGACAACGTCCAAGACTTTACAGCATGTTTTTTGGCAGTTGTAAATGTCATAGTTCAAAACTGTTATTTGTTTACGGCAAATAACTATTAAAAAACAGAAATATTACAAACTTGTTGACGTAGTTCGTGTTAAAAACAACATATCTGTTGAAAATACGGTAATACCGTACTGAGAAATACCAGTGGTAATGTATAAGACGGTATGGTGTTTTGGCCACTGTGAAGGTTTTTCATTTACTCCAAATGAAAAGGTGTATTGTAAAGCTGTATAAATTATATTGAAATATCATACAATTTTAAACAGCTGTTAAACTGTCATCCTAATTACAGTCCTTGTCAGAGATAAACACAGCACTATAAGATTTACACTTTATTACAAAGTAAATTGCACAGAGAAAATGCAAACTCCACACAAAAAGACCACTGAGTGGAATCGAATGCAGGATTTTCATGTTCTGAGGAGACAGTGCTAATCAACACTCCATCGTGCCGTAAGTAAAGGACTACTGCGGTGGATACTGGTTTTGTTCATATTACGGTGTATTGCTGTTTTTAGTAAAAGGTTCTACAACAGTGAGATGCTTTGCAAAGCATGACTGTAAACAATACAATGCTAGCTGTAAAGTGTATGATATATTTTATCTCCATTGGCACCACAGTGGTCTGTATATTTAACATTAATATTTTACAACAAAATAAATTATTATATATTTTATTTTATTTGCATAAAAATCACAATATTGAATGAGTTCCATATTACGGTGCACTTCTTTTGTGAGTACAATTTGTAGTACAGTTAACAGTGATATGAATGCCAAAATAATTTTCTGTGCTGACATATATATTTATATTTATCTATTTGGTGTTTCACTGGCAAATAAACTTAATTTAACCCATTTCCATTTAATAGTGTATTACTGTTGGGATTTGACACCGTAAATATTACTAACTTTTTTACAGTGTACAATGCTAATCAGTAAGTGTCATTGTTAGACAGTTGCAGAAAATGCTCCAGTAATGTGATGATATAGTTATAAAGATTAAAAAAAGATTTTAAAAACAAACAAACACAGGACTGTTAACCAGGAGACCGCTGTTGGTAGTGTTGGTGCGTCATTTTGAAGATGCGAGGTTGGTACATATATGATACATTATTTATGTTGAGTTCTTATTATAAGCTCAAACATGATGTTTTTTATGAATGGAACTCAGTGTTATTGTTTGAATTCACACATTTAACGAACTAAGCGTTAGTAGTTGGGACGAGAAAATGGTAGATTCTACAGAGCACGACAGGGACAACCTTTTTCTGTAGACCAACGCTTCAAGCGGTGGGTCCACACTGGGGTCCCTACAATGTCACAAAGGCAGCGCTGGCAGAAAAAGTTTGGGTATCAATAAAGTAATTCCTAAATAGGTCATTAAAAAACAATTTGGTAAGAAAATCCAACCATTTTCTGTTGGATTTTTCATTAGAAAAATCCAACAGAAAGTAATCTCTGTGTCGAACAAGCGCTGATGAAACGAGAAATCATCTCCACCAATGAACACGACTTTAGTGGTATTTGAAACGTTAATACTATCTCCATGAGTAGAAGGCTAACCTTCGTTTACACATATTGTAAAACTAAGAGTTGAAATGTATTTAGTTTGTGTTAAGCCCAGACCTTGTTTCAGGCTTCTAACCAAAGAGCCATTGGCTGAGATGATAACATCAGGAATTTGGCCTACAGAATCACGTTAACACTGCAGCGCTCTATATTCACGCCGCTGTGTGCCACCGAGAGCTACGGCTGTGTCTCTCATCCCCCCAAACCTTTTAAGTTGTTTATCAATCATCCCTGCTATTGTAAACCGCCCATCTGCTTCAAACAAATAAACATAAAAACACACACAGTCGTGTCCCACCCCGAAGAGAGCATCGCTGGGTATCCTTGTGGTGAGAAAATACACTCCAGATGTGAAACACATTGTCCCTCCTACTAATTGCTATTGTTTTCACTGATTTTGGATCGCTTTTATTTTCGGTCGGAGAGGCTTGTTTGAGCTTCAGGGCTTTATTGTGAGTCTGATGGCGTTGAGACGAGAGATGTGAATGAAACTGAGCTGCGGATAGGACTACTGTTGATCACGTAAACATGGGCAGATGTTTCCACTCAGCTGCCTGATGAGGACATTACTTAGGGGAGGTCATCAGAACTTCTGTCTCTCGCTCATACCCTTGCATTGCCTCCAATCAGGGACTAATGAGGTGTGCGGTAGCACAGGGAGACACGCAGGGGGGAGTGGCCTGCTACGGAGAACGTCCCCACTGTTGTCGTCTTTACTCGCCAATTTCTGAAAACATGAGAGAGAGTGAGGGAGAGAGAGTCCTTTGCGATGTACGACAAAGAATCACCTGTAAATAGGTAAATAACAGATACAACTACTGCAATGTCGCTCAAACAAACAAACAAAATCGTGTACAAAATACAAAGGCTCCCTCGTCTTGGTTGTGGGAAATTGCTTCACCTCAGCTGTCCATCTTTAGTTGTCCTTTTTGCTATGTCCTTGGCAGGGAAAAGTGGCAGGGGGGGGAGAAACTAAGTGAAGATGGGCGGGATGCACAGATACCGAAATTGGGCCGATACTGACTCACACAGCGGGATCAGGGATTGACCTACATTGAGTTTACTGGGTTCTGGTTGGGCCTATATGTGCCCATAGGCCAGGCGTCAGTTATCTGCCGGTGGACAGAACAGCCGAGGTTGCTATTTAGAGGTATTTCAGGTCTGAAATGCAGAAAAGTACTTTCTATGAAGACGATGTTTGACTTCATCAAAGACCTTGGAGAGCTTCCAATCGAAGAATTCCTCTATTTCTTTTGACTTGTTTTTACCGGTGCACCATAAATTCATAATAACAAGTGATAACTTGGTATATGTACACATCTGCAAATCTAGTTATGATATTTGGTTTAAAAAGGTTATGAGAGTTATGTTTAACTGGAATGGGACTCAAAGCTCAGGTCTTGGTATCGGAACGGAAAAAGTAAGATCCGATCACCCACAGCCAATCTAAAGAGGGATGGTCACCTCATAAAACCTTTTTTTGGTACATGTTTCACATATTGTTCTGATAAAAACAGGTGTCGTAATGACATACACTTTGGATGGAACATGCGGCTTGATAGTAAAAGTAATCTTATTATCAGGCTCACATAAAGTTTCATATGTGACCTTCCTTCCTGTACCATTTGGCAGTTACTTTGAAAGAATGAGGGAAAAAAAAGCCTTCACCAAACTGTCAGACGTCTGACATCATCTTTATTTCCAAACATAATTTATTACGGGCAAAATAACCAGCTTTAAACAGTTCATTGATTTGCCTTTATAATACTTTATAATGCCAAAGTTATAATAGTTTAATTGTATAACTTCCCAGAGATGATTGGATTTAAAAAATGAGAAAATCCCCCAATGATTATGTATTATGATTATGATTATATATTATTTATTGCATTTTATTGTAGAATATTTATTCTACAATAAAATGCAATAAATAATAGCAGTCTTATTTTGCTCAAATATTAACGTCCCTTCTGTTTCCCGTCTTTGTATTATATCTAAATGTGATTTATTTAAATGTGCAAGGATAGGATTCATTTGCTGAAATTTACAATGATCTCATATGAACTTTGAAAATGTCTTTCTTTGCACTTCTTTGATTGTCTTAGTAACTAATGAATAATGGATATATATATAATTTTTTCTTCAAGGTTATTTATATATAAATGAGTCATTAGTTATTATTAGTTAAATGTATATAATTGGAATGTTTATTGTTATTATTAATAGTATTACCTGCGAACAAACAATTGCCTATATGAATGCTATAACAGCCGAAACTGCTGTATTTTGGGTTTCAGTTCAAAACTCAATTATGGTCATTTTTACCGCTTTTAAAAAATAATTGTTTGCCTGAAGATAAAACAGTGACGTGACATTTTTAAGCTCAATCGAAAGCTGAACGACATCCTGGTCTTCACGGTGACATGTGCTCATTTTTAAGAATGTACAATACAACTTCTGCAGCACGTAACAAGATCAGTTCCACTTCTTCAATTGAACGGAACGGATCATGAGGCCGATTCCGATTTAAATAATAAATACAAAGATGACCGTCTACGGAATCTAAGAGGACAAAACACGCGCACACTGCGGTGTATGAACCCCCCCGGTCGAACAACTGGCACTTTCCACCCAACTCCACTGTATTCAACATACCGAACGCCTCTTTTATTTTTGGTGCTTTCACGTTCGGTCGTAAAAGTCGCAGTAAGAGGGAGCAATCGATTACTGGGCAAAAACGCCAATAAATAAGTTCTCTGTGATGCTGTGAAATCTTTTTTTTTCACTAAGAAGATCAAGTGTCTATATGTTGCCTTTTTTAAAAAGGAAATGAAAACAGGCATGAGACATGAATCTTGTTTTTAGGGGTTTTCGCACTGTGATCTCCAACAACATACACACGGGCGGGGGTTCTACAGGCGGTTATAATGTGAGCAGTAGGGGCAGCACTTGAAAGCAGCATTATTGAAGAGTCTCCCTCTCTCCCCCAGCCCCCAATGCTCCCTCCGCACATACACGTCCACCCTGCGGGCTCGGTGCGACGGGTGGAAGCCCGGCGAGGGGAAAGGGTCGTTGGGGAGGGGGTGGGGTTAGAGGAAACGAGTTAATGTGCCCTGGAAGTAATTCTTTAGCCCCCCTAAACAACAACAAAAAACACAAGAAAAACATAAGGTGGGAGAAACAGGATCGGCCCACCAGTAGCCGGTGGTAGCTGCCAGTGGGGGGAAAGGGGGGGGGGGGGGGGGGAAAGGGGGGGGCGGGGGTCCGAGGCCGGCGTCCGCATTCCTGCAGATGGACTCGAACACCCGCCTGCGTCCTTGTGGACACTGGTTGTCACGGTGCACGGTTCAAGTACATGGGAAACCACATGTTCTTTGAAGGGCGACATTTAAACTATTATGTTTGTCATTTTTTGTATGATTTATTTTTCGTTTAAAGACAATAAATACAAGAAAATGTCACGGTTCAATTACAGTCGTATATATATATATATATACATACAAAGGTTTATATACACACAAATATTTATATAATATAATAATAAATATTTTTTACGTTGAGTTCATTATTACAATATTTTGATTTCCTGTTTTTAATAGTAAAACATTTTCAACTATTTCGTTCTCATTGGGATGTTTAAACTGTTTAAAAATATTGAGAAATAAACCAAGTCGTAATGAGGAGAAAATCAATCAATAATCTGTATGTATCTGTATTTTTATGAACGATTTTTTAGAACTGCAAAAACGCATAAAAGGTATAGACATTAAAATGAGGATCAAATGAAACAAGCCAAATTTATAGACCAAATATTGTAATAAAAGAATTAACTATTCATAAGACAATTTATAAATATGAAATGCCAATTTGTTAAACTCTGGCTCCGCTATATGTAATAATGAATTGCAATAGTTTAAAGGGTACGCATGAGTTGGACTGCAGGTGTATGATCTGAATAAATCGCTTGTGAACTGGGGACACTGGTCTGAAAAAAGAAAAACAGCGAGCTGTCCCTGCTTGAAAAAAAAAAAACTTTGTGAAAGTGTCCTGACGTCACACTCCCACAATGCTTACCGCCCCATAACTCCGCTGCAGCCGCCTGAGGGGAGCCAGGCATACTCTCAGGCCCCGAATATAACAACAATTATTCTGAGGAGGGGGAGACAAAACATCGGCAAAAGAAGAAGGAAACGACGGATCGAACTGGGGCGAAAATAGCGGCGGCGTGGGGCTCTCCCGCGGTGAGTGTCTGGTCCGAGGTGGAAGTTACCGGGGCTCCATGTGAAATTCAGTAATGCGGTGCTGGAAACTTTTCCGGTGGGTACAAACTGCTCGTCCCCCCCCCCTCCTCACCCCTCCCTCCCCCGTATGTGTGTCTCTCTGCCGCTCGGTAACAGCTTCTGCACGTCCTGCTGTTTGCACGTGTCGGCTTAGAAAACAACTTCTGCTTTTTTAACAACTTTTTTTGGATTTACATCGCAGCCTCGCGCGGACGTGCGCGGCGCTCGACTTGTTGTGACCGCGCTCGGCGGGCAGCTATCGCGGCGTCGGGACTCGTTTTTTCTGCGTAATCCTCGCGTTCTTTGGCGGCAGCGTGGAAAGGGAACGTCTGCGTGTATTACTGTTAGCTACGCGGTCTTCTTCTTCTTTCGGAGGAAGCAGGGTGCGGGAATTACGTTGCAAAGGCGATCGGGAGGTTGTTGAAACGCTGTGCACATTTACCCCCCCCACCTCCTCTCGTGTTCCGTGCATGTTTTTTTTGTTATTTTTTTCGGAGTGATCTGGTAAGTTTGGAGCCCCCCCCCCCCGAAATATGCTGAAGTATTTAACAAAAGTTGGTGGCACGCTGTTGCAAGGAAGAGGGCAGGAGTGTGTCCGCTTTACGAAGGGGGGTGGGGGGGTGATAAAAGCGGCTGTTTTTTTTCGGTGGTGCGTTATGCCCTACGTTAACACCGAGTGGCTTCATATTATAAGGCCCCCCCCCCCCC